ACAGTAAGTTCAGGACATATCCATTGCAGATACGGGGATCATGTTGTATAGAAATAATACTCCTTTTGTAATGCCAGAAAACTACATGATACTGTGCTTGCCATGTCATTTTAACAGAGAAGACAGCAGCAATTTCGCATTGTCATGACTTTACCATCTATGAAAAATATTTTCTTGGCTTTGTGTCAATGAATTTTCTAATTTATTATACATCTTAAATATATAGAAAAAATTGCATTTCCCTTGCTAGTTTTGTCTCTTGCAATTTAGAGTGTAAAATCATCCTGTGCTTATGTTGCATTGTAAAGGGTCTGAGATATGAATGGAACTATATATCACAGAAAATGTGAAAACTGTGAAAGTGAAAGGATATGTGCATTGTCTTTTCGTTTTCAATACTAACATCTTAAAAATACAATATTTTGTAGCTATAGATAAGCCAGTCCTTGGACTTTCCTCAGCAACTGTTCAGAAATACTTGTATGGCACTTTTTTGGAATATTATGTTCTGAATTAAACAAAAAGTGTGCGCTCTCTCTCTCTAAACACACACATATGGTCCGAATGTATCTCCATCTGTGAACCATCTCGGAGGTTAAGATCATCCAGGGAGGCCTTGTTCTCGGTCCCACCCCCTTCGCAGGTGTGACGGGTGGGGACGAGAGACAGGGCCTTTTCGGTGGTGGCTCTTCAACTATGGAACTCCCTCCCCAACAAAATTAGATCAGCACCCTCCCTCCTGGCTTTCAGAAAAAAGTAAAAATTTGGCTATGGGACCAAGCCTTTGGATAGTAAGCAATACAAGGAATTATCAGGGATTATTTATTTATTTGCAAGATTTATATTCTGCCCTTCTCATCCCAAAGGGGACTCAGAGCGGTTTACAATTTATATACACACACAATATATCATACAGTATTATTAGCACAGCACAATATTAGTATTATACATTACTATATTGTACTATACCACTATACTGTAATATTATTAGTAATATTCCATGTAATATAGCATATATAATTATTATATTGTATTATTATTAGTAGTATTCTATTGTATTGCATTACAATATTATCAATATTATATGTGTATACATTATATTATATTATATTATATTATATTATATTATATTATATTATTAGCACAGCACAATATTAGTATTATATATCCACCAATGACCCAGGAAACATGGTGGAACTGTGACTTCCAGGCTTCCCTTCTTCACTCTGGCCTTGGACCATGATTTTTAGATTATGTAATTTTAATGTTTATATTAATATGCTTTTAACTCATGTTTTAATGTTTAAACATTGTTACATTTTATGATCTAATCGATAGTTATATGTTATTGTTTTTATGTTAGGTTTCATATGTATGTGAGACATTAAATTTTGCCATAAATATGTTGGAAACGGCTTTGAGTCCCTCTCTGGGGTGAGAAAAGTGGTATACAAGTGAAGTAAATAAATATATATAGGCAGAATGTCAGACTGCTGGACAAATGGTCCTGTCTTTGGGCAGGAGATTGGAATGCCTTTGGGAAATAGTTTCATTAAAAGCCATGAAGAATTAATTGCTGCTGAATAACATACTCTGAAACATGTTTAAAGCATAAGCATCCCCCCAAAGGATTCAAGTTGCTAAGGAAACTATTTTCTAGAACTGAAACTTGATGAAATCTCATTGACTTACAGACTGAAAATTCTTAAAAGCTTAAACCACCACAGTTCTCCAAGAACCATCTGTTTGATTTATCAAAATCCATCTACAGAAATGTCTTTGAAAAGCTGTGGACAGAAAAGGAAAGCATCAATTTTTCAGCTGTGAATAATGTTTATTGACTTCTATAATAACAAGTGTGATGCAGAAGCAAAACTATGCTCTACACACCCTATTAGTCTGAAACCTACATCTATCAAGGAAAAGAGGAGACTCAGAGTCTTAGATGTAAAAATATATTTAAATACTAAACATCTATTAGATATTAATATATTTCAATACTGGAGCCCCCGGTTGGCGCAGTGGGTTAGACGGCTGAGCTGCTGAACTTGTTGACTGAAAGGTCACCGGTTTGATTCCGCGGAGTGGAGTGAGCTCCCGTTGTTAGCCTCAGCTTCTGTTAACCTACCAGTTCGAAAACATGCAAATGTGACTAGATCAATAGGTACTGCCCTGGTGGGAAGGTAACGGCTCCTCGTGCAGTCATGCCAGCCACATGACCTTGGAGTTATATATGGACAATGCCGGCTCTTCGGCTTAGAAATGAAGATGGGCCCCAACCCCCAGAGCCGGACACAACTGGACTTAATGTCTGTGGAAATCCTTTACCTTTAACCTATATTTAAATACTTCATTTAAAGAAGGGTAATAGGAAAACCCACCAATAGTATTTGGTGTCCTAGTCCATTTGGTGCATCTGTAGCAATGCAGACTGGCCTGTGCCACAAATTCATTTCTATTTTTATGTGAAAGACATTCATGGTGCTTATTTAATTTACAAAGTCAGGGATTTGTATCATAACCTAAAGTCAGGGCCTTTTCTGTGGTGGCCCCCCGACTCTGGAACGCCCTCCCAAGAGATCTCAGACAGGCCCCTACACTGGCAGTCTTCAGAAAGAACTTGAAGATCTGGCTGTTCCAATGTGCCTTCTCAGATTAGGAATCTCCAATACCAAGTCCTAGAAGCACTTTAGTAGAACTAAGATTACTGCACACCGCACACTGCACTTACTTATAATCCTACATACCTCCTGCCACATCAGCACTTTTAGTCTTGTACCCATTACTCTGGCCCGGCCCAGTTTTATAGTGTCTCGATGTATTGTTTACTGTTGTTTATTCTGCTTAACTGTTTTTAATTTGCTTTAGGTATTGTATTGTTGTATTGTGTTTTGAGGCCTTGGCCTGTGTAAGCCGCATCGAGTCCTTCAGGAGATGCTAGCGGGGTACAAATAAAGTTATAATAATAATAATAATAATAATAATAATAATAATAATAATAACAACAACAACAACAACCTATGATGTTCAAATAGGATACAGCTACATTGGTTGTTAATTACTGTCAAGTCATCTTTGACTTATGGTGACACTACAAATGAGAAGCCTCCAGTCACCCAGCTATCAACAACCATGTTCCAGGTCTTTCTAATCAGAACTGTGGCTTCCTTCATTTAAGTCCATCAACTTGACATCCTCTTCTCCTATGGCCTTCAACCTTCCCAACACAATTCAAAGTGTTTTATGAGAATCTCCTCCCAGCTACGTAATGCAAGAACTATTGCATATTGCAGAAAAGTGAGTTGGATTGATACTGTCCTCTGTTCTCAATATCTTATGTATTACATAAGGCAAAATAATCATTTAGTAGAACCCAGAAGCAATTATTTTCTTTACTGCTTTGAACAAAAGATACATCCATTTTTGTGAATCCCTGCACAAATAAGCATCGGAAACCAACAACCTTTATCCTAGGATACATCTACACTGTAGAATGAATGCAGTTTGACACCACTTTAACTGCCATGGCTCAATATTACAGAATAATGGGAGTTGCAATGTTATAAGGACTTCACTACTGAAGAGTGCTAAGCACCTCACTAAACTATAAATCCTAGGGTTCCATAGCATTTACCCATGGCAGCTAAAGTGATTACAATTTGACATACTTTTAATTGTGATGGAATAATGCTATAGTGCAGATGCAACCTAAGACAGCATCTTTCTTTTGCATTAAATATGATGGGAAGCTTTAAAGCATATTAAAATAATAGAACCGTCTTCCATTGCTAGCTAGCTCATGTAAAAAGTAGTTCTTACCTTAACAAACAAGGCTTTTCAGTATGGGTTGTTGTAGATTTTTTGGGGCTATATGGTCATGTTCTAAAGACATTCTCTCCTGACGTTTCGCCTGCATCTATGGCAAGCATCTCAGAGGTTGTGAGGTCTTTTCCGTATTGTTGCAGACAACAGTTGCTGCATTTTTCATCTTTTTCCCGTTGCAAAATAGGTTTTCCATCTAATACAGTGGTTCTCAATCTTCCTCATGCCGCAACACCTTAATACAGTTCCTCATGTTGTGGTGACTCCCAACAATAACATTATTTTCATTGCTACTTCATAACTGTTTTTTGCTACTGCTTTGAATCGTAAAGTATCTGATATGCAAGATGTATTTTCATTCTCTGGAACAATTTGGCACAAATACACAATACACCCAAATTTGAATACTGGTGGGGTTGAGGTGGGGAGAGATTTTGTGATATGGGAGTTGCAGTTACTGGGATTTATAGTTCACCTGCAATCAAAGAGCATTCTGAACTCCACCAACGAAGGAACTGAACCAGTCTTGGCACACAGAACTCCCATGAACAATAGAAAATACTGGAAGAGTGTTGTGGGCATTGACCTTGAGTTTTGGAGTTGTAGTTCACCTAAATCCAGAGAGCATTGTGGACTCAAACAATGATGGATTTGGACCAAGCTTGGCATGAATAGTCAATATGTCCAAATGAGAACACTGGTGGCGTTTCAGGAAAACAGACCTTGACATTTGGGAGTTGTAGTTGCTGGGATTTATAGTTCATCCACAATCAAAGAACATTCTGAACCACACCAACAATAGAATTCGGCCAAACTTCCCACACAGAACCCCATGACCAGCAGAAAATACTGTGTTTTCCGATGGTCTTTGGTGACCCCTCCGACACACATTCGTGGCCCCTCCAGGGACTCCAAACCCCAGGTTGAGAAACGCTGATGTAATAATCCCCCTGTCCCTCTCTCCTACCATGATTCCAACAGGAAGAGTATATATGATGTCTCTTAATTCAATGAGATAGAAGGGGGAAAGGCCAGTTTTCAATCCTATCATTTCACAAATTCTTTCAGCCTTCCCAGAATGAAAGCCAAATTTCTCAGCAGATGGTAGACAGAACAAAACCTTGAGGAAAATTAGTTTCCTTTCAAATAGGAATCGCAAATAAAGGTTATACACAAAGTTTCTTTGAGCTTTGAAAAGTAGTTTATATAAGCGAGAGACATATTTATAAATAACATTTTTTTCAGTAAAAAAATATATTAACTGGTTCACAATATGAACTGGAATGAATCCACATTATCCTAGTTTTGCTTCTCAGTCACTGCTGGAAGAGTCAGAACTATCAGAGGATGAAGAATCTCCCCCCTTCTTCTGCTTCTTCTTCCCCTTTTTGTGGTGATGTCTTCTTTTCTTGGATTTATTCTTTTTTTCCTTCTTCTTTTCCTTTTTGTGGGATTTTTGTTTTTTCGATTTAGGCTCATCCTCTTCTGTGGCACTTGAAGAATGAGACCTATTAGAAGAAAAGAATATAAACAGAATATAAAGGCTTCAGATATTCAGAGGTGACCTCTCTCTCTCTATATATATATATATATAATTGTATATTACATGTAATATTACTAATAATATTACAATATAATGGTATAGTACAATATAGTAATATATAATACTGATATTGTACTATGCTAATAATATATTGTATGTATATATATCTTGTAAGCCACGATGAGTCTCCTTCGGGGCGAGAAAGGGAGGACTATAAATGTTGTAAATAAATAAATAAATAAATAAATAAATAAATAATATACCACCGCTCAAATCTCTTCTAGTGCTAAACACATCTAATTGTCTCAACTCTTCCTTATAAGTCTTAGTTTTTAGACCTTTTTACCATCTGTCACCCTTGATTGCATATGGCATATTCCAAGTTGTTGCTATCTGTTAAGCTGTGGTCACAATAATTTCAGGCGAGGTCATCAAAGTAATAGAGTTGTGCATTTACTTCCCTTGACATGGACACTACATGTCTGTTGATGTAGCCTAAAACTGCATGATTTATTTTCCTCACATCTCACTGATGAGTCACATTTATTTTGTGTTTTATTAAGACTCCTAGATCCTTTTCATATCTACTGTTGTCACACCAGATTTTGTCTACCCAATACTTGACCATCTGATTTTTCATGCCTAAATGTACTCTAAATTTATCTCTGTTGAAATTCTTTTTTTTTTTTTGGGAGGGGGGTATTTATTTAGTTACAGCATTTATATTTTGCCTTTCTCACCCCGATGGGGACTCAGGGCAAAACACATATATGGCAAGCATTTAATGCTGTTAAACAGACAGGACAGACAACAGATAGAGAGATAGGCATCCCCCCCCCCCCCAAATTTGGCATCCTGGAGGTTGTGCTCGATTCCAGCCATAGGGGGGCCTTGATCACAGACTTCCTCCCTTCTTTTGATCAATGGCATTTTTCTAATATTTCCTTTTTTTAAAGTGCCATAAAATCCCTCCCTGCTTAAGCGGTACATAATTTATCTACTTACAGTTGTTTTTAAACTGCTTGGGTGGACAGTGAGCTGAGCCGAAAGTAAGGAGCTCACCCCGAGCCGGGCTTCGAACTGCTAACCTTTCAATTGGTAAGATTTATTACATTTGGTGATTAACCAGCTGTGTTAAAGCCTCACCCATGAGTTTTGGACTAGTTCTGTAACCTGTGGAAGTCAACTTGAATATTTTTTTTCATGTCAGGAGCTACTTGAGAAACTGCAAGTTGCTTCTGGTGTGAGAGAATTGGCCGTCTGCAAGGACATTGCCCGGGGACACCCAGATGTTTTACCATCCTTGTGGGAAGTTTCTCTCATGTCACCGCATGGGGAGCTGGAGCTGATGCAGGGAGCTCATCTGTGCTCTCCACAGTTTCAAACCTACGACCTGTCAATCTTCTGCCGGCACAAGGGTTTAACCCACTGCGCCACCGGGGGCTCCAACTTGAATCCTGAATCTATCTTACAAGGTATTAACTATCCTTCAGAATTTAATGTTCTCTTTATTTTTAATCAAAGTCATTTATAAAGATGCTAAACAACAGTTGGGACAGAAACCTGTAATATCGCACTTATCACTGCTGGACAGTCTTTGGCATCAGTCAAATCATTTGACAGTACAGCATCATTTAACCTACATTTTAATCCCTTTACAAAAAAAAATCAAGATAAATTACATCCACTGCATTCCCCTGATCTGCCAAGGTTCTAATTCTATAGAAAAAAAAGAGATAAGGTTAGTCTGACATAAATTGTTAAGAAACCCAGATTGGTTTCTCTTTGGATTCCTTGTCGTGCACCTTCAAGTAATCTGCAACGTATAAAGGTTTTCCTGGCAAGATTTTTTTCAGAAGAGGTTTACTATTGCCTCCCTTTGGCCTAAGGTGATCCTGCTTCAGTACAGATATTTTAAAAATCTGCAAAACTAGAATCTCATAGACATTGCAAAAGAAAAAAAAAGAAATGAGAAGGGGAGGACAGAGCAAGGATACAAACTGATAGAGCTATGCTAGGTTTGATGGCCAAGGCATCAACAAACTGGGACTGAGTTCTGCATTAACAGGAATGATGAGTCCGGCAATGGAGTGTCTGCTCCAAACTATTACAAATACAGGCAGCCATGCCTTAAGATGAGTGAGCATTTATGATCACAAAAGAATTCAAATTACTCTTTTTGTAGGGGAAAAACCTCCCTGAGCTAGGAATCCACTCATGCATTTTACTTGAAAAAGGTTACAGTACAATTTAGCAGCAATAAAGGCTTTTCAGAGTTTTTCTTATATGAGAAAGCCTTAGGGATGCCATTCTGTATCCTTCACACTTAGAATAGGCCAACAGAAAGCAGTGGACTTGTCAGTTCCATTGATTACAATAGCATTACTTTATATATAAGTAACTGACTTAAACCTTAAATAACTATTAACTTGAGACAAACAAGCCAAAAAACCTGAACACTATTCTATATTGTACAAACATTTTGCTCTATGTCTTTTGGGTGAAAAAGCTCCAAGGGATCTTTTACCCGATTTCAAAATAATTGTACACAAAGATTTAGATGGGACGGTAGTATATAAAGATTTTTTTTAATTGCCATATATAAAATATGAAGATAAACCTCTTAAAATACCTTTTCTTTGCTTTCTTTAATTTTGATTTTTCCTTATGCTTCTTTTTGACCTTCTTCTTGTCTTCTTCCTCACCAATACCTGTGAATTTACATGATAATGTTTTAGAGGTACAACAAAACATTTCTGAAATTTCATTTATATTTTGCACCCAAGTCCCTTCCAGATCATCCCTTTCAATACATGAAGTGTTCTGCCTAATTTATTGGATTTTTACTGAGGTAATGGTGACAAAATGGTGCCCATTTGATCTTGCAAACCTCCACAAATTGTGGGTCTTTATATTTGTTTCTGTAAAAAACCCCACTGAAGATGAAAACATGAAATAGTTGGGCAATTTATTTTTATTGCTATTACCAGGAGCTTGGAACTATTCCTCTCTGTAAAACTAACCACCAAAATATCATTCACCACTTTGAGTCTCTATAAAAGAGAAAAAGTTGTGTATAAATAATAATAATAATAATAATGTATTGTCGAAGGCTTTCATGGCCGAAATCACTGGGTTGTTGTAGGTTTTTTCAGGGTATATGGCCATGGTCTAGAAGTCTAGACCAGGGGTCCCCAAACTACGGCCCGCGGGCCACTTCCGGCCCGCCAAGAGCACCTATCCGGCCCGCGGGGGAGGAGCGCCCCCCCCACACACAGCCCCCCTCCCTTGGCAGGCTCACGTTGCCCATCGGGGGCGATGCGCAGCGTGAGCCAGCCAAGGGAAGCTGCTCTGCGGGGTCTACTCGCGTGTAAACACCTCGCGAGGTGCTTTACGGACGAGTAGACCCCGCAGAGCAGAGCCAGCCAAGGATTTCATTTATTCATGGATTTCATGGATTTCATTTAAATGTTCTTTCTAGAAATTTCTAGAAGAAACACTTCTCCATGAATCTCTAGGTGTGGTTCTATGATCAAAATCCAGCAGTGACTGACTTCATTCAGAGTCATGCTGTAGAACCTAGAATCATAGAATCATAGAGTTGGAAGAGACCTCATGGGCCATCCAGTCCAACGCCCTGCCAAGAAGCAGGAATATTGCATTCAAATCACCCCTGACAGATGGCCATCCAGCCTCTGTTTAAAAGCTTCCAAAGAAGGAGCCTCCACCACCAGAAATTCTTTGAGAAGTGTCCTCTCAAGTTAAAGAAATAGCATTTTTATTCACATTTTTTAACTTTCATGGGGGTCCTGCATCCCTAATTCCAGCAAATATGAAGGGCTGACTGAGAAGAAGAGTGCTTCTTTAAAAACTATGACAAAACTGTGGACAAAGAGTGACATTATCATTGCAGCTAATTACTTTTTTAAGACAATTTGGCAACATCTAACACATTAAGTCACACGAGATGAAAGAAATTACAGTTATAAAGTGAAGAAATTGTACTAAAAATGAAGAAGGCAAATAGGATGCTGGAATTTACTCTGTTTTTCTGGGACAGCTTGCAGTTTCCCCAGTTCCTCCTCTTCACTGTCCTCGCTGCTTGTGCTGCTGACATCTAGCACAATGTCTCTTTTGGGATCCACTCGGAGAAAATTACGGCATTCGAACGTCAGATGACCAGCTAAGTAAAATTGAACAAGAGAAGAATAATTAAGGAAAGCAAACAAAAACATAAACCAAATAGCAATTTACTGCTCACTGCTGAATGGGAGAAATCTTTATTTCTATTTTAATAATAATAATAATAATAATTTATATTCCACCACTATATCCCAGGGGAACTCAGGGCAGCTCACAAAACACTCCAGGTATGACATGCAAAATATAACAAGTGAAAAATGAAACATACGAGTAGACCATAAACAATCAACACATCATCATAAATTCACAATATCCCCTGATGAAAATAATAAAATACAGCAATTGCTGTAGATAAAGCAACAGCATTCAATCTCAGAAGTATAAAATGCTAATAAAGAATCCAAAGGTCCTCATATATATTATTAGAGAGTCTTAGAGCATCTAAACATGGTTGAAGGCTAAATAGTTATCATTTCTAACAATAAGTTTGTGTGTGTGTGTGTCAGGAGTGACTTGTGAAAGTCCAAGTCGCTTCCGGTGAGAGAGAACTGGCCACCTGCAAGGACGTTGCCCAAGGGATGCCCGGATGTTTGATGTTTTACCATCCTATGGGAGGCTTCTTTCATGTCTCTGCATGGGAAATTAGAGCTGAGATGGGAGCTCACCCCGCTCCCCAGATTCGAAACGCCAACCTGTCAGTCAGCAGTCCTGCCAGCACAAGGGTTCCATTGCACCACCGATGGCTCCATAATAATAAATTGAATAGGTAAATAAGATATCCTGAACAATATATGCAGGATAGAAGAAAGAAGATCTCTACAATAGACAACTTCTTCAATTGCTTTTAATTAGAACTGGAATGTAAGCCTTGTTCAATAGAATTTTCTCCCATATAAATGGCTTAAACATCATCATCTTAAAACCAAGTTATGTTTTCAAGTCCTTGGTTTCCAAAAAACAACAGGCCAGGCTTTGAGACTTCAAACACTGGATTGGATCCCATGCAGGGAGAAATGTGGGATACAAATGAAAGAAAGTAAGAAAAAATATATTGAAAAGAAATACCCAATCTACTAAATATTGCCTGCTTCTCTTCTTTGTCACTCCATTTTATTTTGTATAAGGATACTACTATGGGAATAGGAGCCCTTGGTGGCGCAATGGGTTCAAACCTTGTGCCGGCAGGATTGCTGACCGAAAGGTCTGCTGTTCAAATCTGAGGAGTGGGGTGAGCTCCTGTCTGTCAGTTCCAGCTTCTCATGTGGGGACATAAGAGAAGTCTCCCACAGGATAGTAAAACATCCGTGTGTCCCCTGGGCAACATCCTTGCAGATGGTCAATTTTCTCACACTAGAAGCGACTTGCAGCTTCTCAAGTCACTCCTGACACCTATGGGAATGGCCTATAAGAGCCCCACAAGACATCCTTCTTGGACAACCATTTCTATAACAGTAAATATGTACTTGATCGTTTTTTAAAAAAAATAATCACAAATTTTAGATTTTAATTGGATCCCACCGGGCCTATTCCCCTAGATTGGCCCTGGGAAAGTTACAACAGGGAGAAAGGTTTTATTCCACTCTTCTGAGAGTCCAAAATAAAAAAAAATTAATGTACGCAAGCAGCAGGAATGATAATTTTGAAGTGGGTTGAGCCCATTGTTATGCTAATGTACTTCCATTAGCACAATGGGTTGTCTCATTTCTTCCTTCCTTCCTCCTGCCTCCACACTGCTTTAGGATCCAGTCTAGAAACCGGTGAATTGTCCCCATTGTTCCATCAACACTGATAACTTTTCTCTGGAAACTCAGCTCATTTTAAAATAATGTATCTGTGAACAGGCTGTATCTATGAATGTGGCCAATTTAGTTTTGTATCTAAGTAACAACTCAGAATTTATTTCCTAATGGATGTCAGACAAATGGCAAGAAAAAGAACAGGAGAAAAGGAGACATGCTGTTGTTAAGTACAAAAATATAAATAGTTTCCACACAGGCTGAAACGCCGTTTATATTTAAGAGGCTCGTCTAGAATATTAGCAACAATGAAAACAAATAACAAAAAACACAATTAAGCTTTAGATGCCCAACCACCTTCCTGTTTTGTTGTAAGAGACCTCATTAGTGCACATTTCAACAATTTGGTTGCTGTAAACCATGCAGTCTTAGATGTGATGTTGTTAACAAACACTTGCATGGAAAAGAAGGCATTTTACATTTTAAAATGTAATAATGTGTGTAAATGTTTCAGCTAAGTTACAGCAACCAGAATAGTGTTTATACCCAAGGACAAGTGATTTAAAACTGCGTAAGATTAAACACACCTTAATCCTCCTTCATTTCTACGACAGTCAAACTAAAAGAAGACTAAATCCCAATAAGAAAAAGATAACACTGTTCTCAGAGAAGTTTCACTGCAAAATTTCAGATATATGACTGTGCTTGTTCTCTAAGACATGTGTCTGGTGCCCTGCTGTGTTAGAAGTATGTGAACTCACACAGCCTTCATTTTAAAATACTGCTTCTTTGGCAGAAGTGGATTTCTGTTTAGTAAAGAATCCAAATCTTTGTAACAATCACTACCATCAATTCAATAATTCTAAATCAACAAGGTTAGTAAAACAGATATGAAGCATTTCTGGTACATCACCATTAGACCCATAAACATTAATAAAAACAATCAGGTTTTAAAAAATATATTGCAGTAAAATAAACAACTGGCCATCTGGATCGATTATTGCAAACTGTACTGGGACAGAAGGGAGCCCCCAGTGGCGCAGTGGGTTAAACCACTAAGCTGCTGAACTTGCTGACCAAAAGGTCACAGGTTCAAATCCGGGGAGTGGTGTGAGCTCCCGCTGTCAGCCCCAGCTTCTGCCAACCCAGAACTTCTGAAACATGCAAATGTGAGTAGATCAAAAGGTACCACTCCGGCAGGAAGAGAACAGCGCTCCATGCAGTCATACCAGCCTCATGACCTTGGAGATGTCTACAGACAACACTGGCTCTTCAGCTTAGAAATGGAGATGACTAACCCCCAGAGTCGGACACAGCTGGACTTAATGTCATGGGAAAACCTTTACCTTTTACCTTACTGTAACGAAAGATGCTTGTGGAATAGGAACGTCACACATTTACACTGCATAGCAGCATGTGAAATATATACCCCATCAATCCAATGTTTCTGAAGAATGTTCACCTCCTCTGTCATTAAACAGGTTTCTCACCAGAATACAATGTTTGCTTAAATTGTTTTATTTTAGGAAGCACTTGTTTTTGTTTGTTTACATCTCACAGACCTGTGACACTCCACAAAACTGCGTTATGCATTAAACCACCAAGATATTTTAGCATCAATATCACACTCAGGATATCCAACATTTGTTGCTGTTTATTCGTTTTATTCATTTCCGACTCTTCGTGACCTCATGGACCAGTACACGCCAGAACTCCCTGTCGGCCGTCACCACTCCCAGCTCTTTCAAGGTCAAGTGAGTCGCTTCAAGGATACCATCCATCCTTCTTGCCCTTAGTCGGCCCCTCTTCCTTTTTCCTTCCATTTTCCCCCAGCATCATTATCTTCTCCAAGCTATCCTGTCTTCTCATGATATGGCCAAAGTACTTCATCTTTGCCTCTAATATCCTTCCCTCCAGTGAGCAGTCAAGTATTATTTCCTGGAGTATGGAGTGGTTTGATCTTGCTGTTCAAGGCATTCTCAGAATTTTCTTCCAACAAAAGCGTATATTTTCTTTCGCTCAGCCTTCCTTATGGTTCAGCTCTTGCATCCATAGGTTACCATGGGAAATACCACTATCCAACATTACAGAACTTGTTTTTTTTAAGTCTTACATAAAGTAGAATACATTTCCTAAGTTGAGATTTATTGATTCCATAAATCATCACTTCACTGCTTAATTTGCTTATTGTAATCTTACAAACTCTGGGAAACCTTATAACGTCACATACAAGTAAATAAAATATAGAAAATGAACACCTTATGTGGCTGAAAAAATATGAAAAGAAGTGCCCACAATTTTCTTCCTCAAAACATTCAAACAAATGCAAAAATGAGAAACAAAAACTAGTTTTAAAAAGGGGAAGTGGAACATGGACTTTCTGTTGGAGAAACTATTGCGACCCATTGCTCCATTGTTATCTCTCTCCTGAACTAATCTAATTCACAGAGCACTCTCAACATAAAGGGGGGAAGAGAAAGAAAGACAAATAGAATAGGTAATATAAATGGAATTCTAACAAATATTGAATTAATAGAATGTGATAAAATGAATAAAGCAGACAGTGAATTGAAGAAAAGGAAGAAGAGGAATTAAAATGAACTTCCTGAACTAGTGTAGAATTGGATACTGGAGGGCATTGAAAAAGAAGTGAACCCAAGTACTTTTCAAACTCCATTCAGACTGTTCAATAGGCCATCATGTTATCTGGAAAAAAATCTCTGTGGACATGTTCTGGCAGCTACAGACGGTCAAAAAAGATATAAACCTTTCTTCCATGAACTTACTTTCATTCATGTGGCTTAATATCCAAGCCATAGCATTTTGCTGCTCAGTATGTTTTTCAAGTTAGTCTCAACTATTTATATATTGCCTTTATACAGATAATGCCATACAATGGTAGTGAAGTTTCACATGAAACCAATTATGTCTTTGCTGATACTTACGATAACCACATTTCTTGCACCCTGCCCTGATGTTATCTTTATTTCCACCTGAAAAAGCCAAAAACATTTTATATTAGGAAATGGCTCAAAATGTATACTATACAGACAGTCCCCAAGTTACGAACAAGATCAGTTCTGTAGGTTTGTCCTTAAGTTGAATTTGTTTGTAATTGGACAGCACAGGGAAGGGTTAGCACCTTGTGGTGTTTGTTTTGTTGTTTGTTCAGAAGATTTGATCTCACTTTCTATCCCTTAGATTTTTTGACTTTGAAAAATTTGGCTAGTTGTAGAAAGAAGGATTGGAGGGAAAGCTTCAGTGGAGACACCTTTTCCCCCATGATAACTCTTTCAGGAATGAATTTCTCATCCTAGTAGTAGACTTATCTCACTTCCTGTTATCTCACCCCTGTTCTTAACTATGAGTCTTGTAACTTGGAAACTGGCTGCACAGAAAAACAACTGATACCGAGGTCAATAGCAATATCACCCAATTGCACTACTACACATGACAAAAACTCTCTATATAGTGGAGAGATATATTTACTTAAATGCACATTGTACAGAATTATCTATCATGTATAAGTAATTCTCACCCAACTGCACTACTAGACATGACAAAAACTCTATATAGTGGTGACATACATTTACTTAAATGCACATTGTACAGAATTATCTATCACAGATAAGTAATTCTCATAATTCAATATGCTCTCTAGGTATAATAGCAACACCATATTATAATAAATCATGCCATGTTACTTTGATTTTAGAATTTCCTCCATAGGAAGGCACAGATAGATCCCTCCATGCTGCCCTTCCACTGGCAAGTAAAAATGTTCTTATTCCATCAGGATGTGAGCAATTGACTATGATGAGCTTTTAATAGTATAGTGTTATTTGGCTGATTTTTTAATATTGTATTTTAATGATTTAATGGTTTTTAAATAGCTTTTAAAGATATACTTTTACTGATGTTTTGTAGTTATTAATCTGTATTGTTTTTAATAAGTTTTAATGTATCTTGGGTCCCATTACTGGGGGAAAAACAAGGACAAAATTATGATGGTAATTTTATGCTTATTATTTGACAATACTACTGTGATGTTTATATTCTTACCATATATACTCATATGCAAGTCAATTATTTTGGGGGGGGGGATCAACCCAAAAAACCTGGGTTGACTTATATATGGGTTAATGTTGAAAGTGTGAAAACAATGACAAGAGGCAAAGGTGAGTAGTATCTACTCCATTAAACCTTTCATGCCCAAATAAGAGAAAGCAAAGAGACCTCCCTTCTCTCCCCCTCATTCTTCAGGCTCCCAATGTTCTCGTGTTCAACATCTGAGCAGTATTCGAGAGCAACATGAGGGGAGAGGTGCTGATGAATACAATGCACCCACCATTTTTGGCTACTTGAATGGCAGACCCCATTTTTTATTAGGGATTACTGCACAAGCTTCTCTATGGAGGAACTGTGGCAGCCATTTCTAATAGTGGAGGAGATAGTGGTGGTGCCATGTCAGAGAAAGAGTGGAGAGTGCTTCCTTTAGTTTCTCTCAGAATGGTCTAAGCCAGTGCTTCCCAAAGTGGGCGATACTGACCCCAGAGGGTTGCTGGAATGATTCAGGGGGCTGTAGTAGCCTAGGGTACAACTGGGGGGTGTTGAATAAAAACAAATGGGCAGCAAAAGCGCAAAAAGAATTTTTTTGAAAAAACATTTGTACATGTTCTATCCCTTATGTAACACTGAGTTAACGTTGTAGTGATAACTTTATTTTCCAAACAAACACACAAAATGTAAGTTATAACTACTTAGTGATGAAGTCCGCAGGCAAGTCATGCCAAGCAAGTGTTGGCAGGCAATCACATTGTGCACTGATGGGAAATCCAGAATGCATTGGCAGGAATGTAATGTCTTGTTTACAGTATGATACTACAAATAGATGACACATATGAAATCTAATTTAGATTGTTTCTGAATTGCATGGCAAGCAGTTAAAAATAGTGCAATAACTATTTAAATATTTTAATTTATGCTGCTGAAAAAAGGCTGAACATTTATAAATTGATAAGAAGTACACTGGGTTCATCTTTCTCTTTTAGGGTTATTTTGAATGTTATTTGTAATTTTTGTTTTAATATTATCCTTTGTTAACTTAGTTTTCTGTGTGTAACACAAATGTTACTATGGTTGAATTTATACTGTTTAATGTTTTTTATCTATTATGTTTTATGTATACTGATTTGTTGGAAACCGCCTTGAGTCGTCAATTGGCTGAGAAAGGCGGTATACAAATACAGCAAATAAATAAATAAATAATGTTAAATAAGGTGCCTTATTTACAATTACATCTTTCTTTACCGTATGGTAGGTGGAAATATATACAGAAGAATGCAAACTTGTCACGGCATCTTTCTGTTTGTTTGCTTAAAGAAGGCAAATGTCCAGGGGTGTGCTGAGTAGTTTTTCCTGAATGGGGGCAGGAAGCCAAGGAAGTTTTGTAACCTCTGTTTTAAGCTCTTACTTTTTACCTCTCTACTCAGATAAGGGGATGTCGCATTGGTATCAGAAACAGTACTTTCGTTGATCTGCCAATAAATCGACCCAGGTAATTTTGGTAGTTTCTTTGACTAAAACTTGTGTCTTATACATGAGTATATACAGTCCTTCTCAGCAAAAGTGAACTATCATGGTGGCATTCACTTTTTATGACAGAGATTGGTGGGGCCGGTGGTGCAAAGCGTTGAAAACTCCGTTCTACCTGACACATATCCAAGAATTATTACAAAGAGACCAAGGTATATGGCAAAAAGTGAATATGAAAACAAGAGCTAAGAGAAAAGGCTCTGATCATCATTGAATCGAATCACGTGTTCTGACATCATATAGGTAGCTGTAACACATACATAGGAGAAGCTTATAATGTTTGGACTGAATGTATCAATATGTTGCATTTCTTGATTATTTTGCTTTTGAAAATTAGTAACATTAAAGATGTTCAAACATTATAAAAATGAACAAGACAATTAATATACAAAGGAAGCACAATTCTACTGTGCACAAAAATTGGAGGGAAGTTTGGCACAACTTAAGTTTCATTTCCAGATATTAAAATTAAGTGAATTGTACTGATGGCAGAAACACAAATCTCCATCACTTAAAATAATTGTTTACTGCAAAACCAAACAAACTTCTAGCCGTGAAAAAGATTAAGAACTGTCAGGAAATAATGAAATATGGAAACTGGCTGCAATTACAAAATAAACTAGACTTAAAAGCAAAAAAGAAAGAAGCCAAGGATCCTAAATTTCAAACTTGATCACACAGCTCAGCAAGATGCCTAAGCTGAGACTCGTACTTTGGATGCAACACAAAACTACACAATTCTCTAGAAAATATAAAAATGCTTGGCAAAGTGGCAGGCAGTAGGAATAGCTGGAGATCACTTTACAGGTGGATAGATTAAATCAAAGAACCCATAGCTTTGAGCTTGCAAGACTTGAAAATAGCATTTGATGGCTGGGACCCTTGGCGGTCCCTCATTCCTTGTTGTTGTGGGCCTTCAAGTTAATTCTGATTTATGGTGATTATAAGGAGATCTGCTGTACCCCCCAGTGGTGCATTGGGTTAAACCGCTGAACTGCTGATCTTGCTAACCAAAAGGTTGGTGGTTCAAATCCAAGGATCGGGGTGAGCTCCCACTGTTGGGCCAGCTTCTGCCAACCTAGAAGTTCGAAAACATGCAAATGTGAGTAGATCAACAGGTACCGCTTCTGCGGGAAGGTAATGGTGCTCCATGCTATCATGCTGGCCACATGACCTTGGAGGTGTCTACGGACAACACCAGCTCTTCGGCTTAGAAATGGAGATGAACACCACCACCCAGAGTTGGACACAACTAGATTTAATGTCAGGAGAAACCTTTACCTTTAAGGAGTTTTCTTGGTAAATTTTCTTGGGAGGATTACCTCATTCATAGGATCACCAGAAGCTAATTCCACCCAAATTATCGGTATTATGCAGGTTGACCAGCATCTCAATCTGATTTTTTTAGGGAATCCTCATCACCATTAACAGATGAGCACTCTGGCACCACGAGGTAGAGAGCCAATCTTAAGAAATGTGAATGTGGAGAAGAGCAGACTACAGACCACTTAATACAATGCAGTCTGAGCCCTGCCACATGCACAATGGAGGACCAACTTATAGCAACACCAGAGGCACTCCAAAAGGCCAGCTTTTGGCCAAAGGACATTTAGTATAATGCCAAGTTTTTAATTTTCTTTTTGTTTTTAGATACCTTACAACTGTACCCTCAATTCGCTTCCAATACGATAAATAAATAACTAAACAGGCTTTTGTGCCAACATATATACAATTACAGTGCAATCTTGATGCACGCCTTTCCAGAGGCAAGAACACATTCCTGCTGTGTACTCTCTTTTATGAAAAGGATTTATTCAGATTTTTAAATCATAATGTCCAAAGGCCCTTAGCATCAGTTATCCTAGTTATGAATGATGGAAGTCGCAGTCTGAAAGCATCGAGAACACTGGTTCTCAACCTGTGGGTCTCCTGATGTTTGGGCCTTCAACTCCCAGAAATCCTAATAGCTGGTAAACTATCTGGGATTTCTGGGAGTTGTAAGCCAAAACGCCTGGGAACCCACAGGTTGAGAAACACTGATATAGAGGGACAAAATGGCCTATCCGATTATAAGAAATTAGGATTTTGCCTCAATGTTTTCAATCCAGTAAGTAGAGTTCTAAAACTTGACGTGTCCTAAAATACATTATATCACTGTATATTCTAGTACTCAATCTACTTACGATGAATAAACTGTAATTATATTATGCTCTAATAATGCAAAGTTACCAAAATCATCATTACATGACTAAGGTTCCTTCTTTGTAAACAGTGCCACCAAGGGGAGAAATACCTAACAATTCATAATTCCTTTTGCAAGCTCTTTCAGGAAGTACATAGTTCCCCCCCCCCCATGAGGTGGGGGGACTGAGCATGGGAAGCCACTGGCCATATACATAATGCTAGCATAACCCCACTACAGAACATCGGTTGCAGGGTGCTGGTTGTCGTGTGTCCCCATACACTTCATTATTGCAATGTATGTGTCTTTATCTTTTATAAGGGGCTGATTTAACTTCTGGTTTGCTAGTAAAACTGAATTACTGTGTTGTAAAGTGATGCATGCCTAAAAGTGTTTCACCAACATGAAATGTTTGGAAAGCTCTGCTCTACTGTCTTCACTATTATTGATAATATGTGGGAAGATCACATTATAAAACCCTACCTGTATGTATCCAAGAAAAAATCGATCAACTCTTGACTAAAGTTCAGTATTTGTTTGACGGAGCATACTCAGAAGCCTATCTTTCCTCATAAGACTCTAGGATTATGTTTGGCCGCAGAGAGAAAAACTGCTCCAAAGGGGAGATCATATCTAGTGGTGATCATATGCTGCAGAAGATCCTTAGCAACATGGAAGAAGGCATGACTCATTTGTCCCAATTTCTATGTAATTCTTAAAAACCTGATATGGTTCTAAAGTGTCAACATCCATACTAAGTTCTATTCTATTATTCATCACAGCATTGTGGCTGCTGACAATATCTTATGTAATATAATGTCAGTGAACCACCTGTATCTTTTCTTTTGTGTATACATACGAAAATATTTAAGTTTGGGAAGTTATTTATTATGTTTGTATGTTCTTCATGGGACAGCTAATACAACAATTGGTGGCATATATCCTACCTTGTTCATGCCCAGCGTTTATTTTTTAATTTTAAATTATTAAATTGTCCCGGCCATAGGTTTTTAAATCCTTGTGTGTTAATACTTATATGTGATTTATATTAATTGTATTGTTTTTTGTTTATTGCTGTCTTGTTTTATTGATGTGTTGTTGTTGTTGGGCTTGGCCTCATGTATGCCGCTCCCAGTCCTAGTAGTAGTAGTAATAGTACCTGCAGTTACCCAGTCTCATAAATAAAGGAATAGGCCATGTTGGCAGGTGTCAATGGGAGTTGGAAGCTCAATAAGGCGACATGTGCTACCATGCCTGGTTAGTAAGCTGTAGTGTACAAATATAAACCACAACAGGCGCCTTCCTCACAGGAGTATTTAGTGGGGATGAGACAGGACCTTTTCAGTGGTGGCCCCTTGGCTGTGGAACTCCCTTCCTAGGGATATTAGATTGGCCCCTTCCTCCTGACTTTTCAGAAAAGAGTAAAAACCTGGCTCTTTGAGCAGGCTTTCGGAAAAGCAGCGTAATTAGATAAACATAGGATGATGAAAGAACTGCTTAAATGATGTAAATGAATTAGGAGTTGAACTGGAAGACATTGATGATTATAGTTTTAATGGTTTTATATGGATTTTTATTATATGATATTAAACGTCTTTAACTGATATGTATGTATGTATTTATGTATGTTGTGGCATATAATTGTTGCCAATCTGTACACCGACCTGAGTCGCCTTCCCGCTGAAAAGAACAGGATAAAAATGCTGTAAAGAAATAAATAATCAAACAAACATGGAAATCTCTTAAGGAGAATTTTATGTTATCAATTCACAAATCCTAGGATACCATAGGATTGTGTTATGACAGGTAAAGTTATATCAAACTAGGGTAATTTGGGTACATTTGAACACTGTTGGGGGGGGGGGGAAGCAAAACATAAGATAATTTTATTTATTTGCACTCCCCATGCCTCAGTTTTCTCTCCTAACAGAAATATATCCCCAACTAAACTCAGGCTTCTAACAAGATACTAAAAGCTACAATGAGGACACAGCACATTTCTCCATGGAAGAATATTCCAGCAGGGAGATCAGCCGAGTTGCAGCAACTGGCTTGAGAAGACGCAGCTCTCGCAGATGGCTTCCTTTCCCTGCCAGAAAGAACATTTCATTCCAATTTTCAACAGTTTCTGGATACAGAACAAAAGAGAAACATGCTGATCCTAGGAATGAATTGTGTGACACTTGGAAGGTGGGAGTTAGGGTGTTCAAACTACAGGAAAAAATAATCCATCTAAACTTTTAGGAAAAAATTCCTGATGACAACAGCTGTTCAACACTGAATTATGCTACCTCAGAGGGTGGCAGAGTCTCATTCATTGTAAGTGTAATAACAGAGGCTGAATGATTATCTTTTGGGAGAGTTTGATTGTAAATTCATGCTTGGCATGGGGTTGGACTAGATGACCACAGGGGTCTCTTCCTACCCTATGATTCTATCTGTAACCTATAACTCTTTTAAGATTCATTTGATTTAAAGTTGGTATGTTAATCTTAGAAACAAAAACACTTTTTGAAAAAACTCCGGGCAGAAGAAACACCAATGATCTTTCAGGCCATTCCAACAACCAAGGATGAATCCTTTTGTTTCCTTCTTTTAAGAAGTGCATACAGAAGACTAGAGTATCTTAACTTTGGGTTTACCCTTTGCTTTATTTTAATCACTTCACACTTAGAGAGAAGCCTACATTTTTAGTAAAACAAAGGACAACATCATTAGAAATTCACACTAATTTCATTATCACAGCAACATAATATATTTCAATTAGTTTCACATGGTATGGTTGCTGATGACACGATAAATAAATAACCAGGTGCACTGTTTAATGTAATGCATTTCATGAATGGTACTATGGTGGCACAGTGGGCTAAAGCGCTGAGCTGCTAAGCTTGTTGATTGAAAGGTAGCAGATTTGAATCCGGGCAGCGGTGTGAGCTTCTGCTGTCAGCTCCAGCTCCTGTCCACCTAGCAGTTTGAAAACATGCAAATGTGAGTAGATCAATAGGTACCGCTCCGGTGGGAAGGTAATGGCATTCCATGCAGTCACGCCTGCCACATGACCTTGGAGGTGTCTACGGACAATGGCGGCTCTTCGGCTTAGAAATGAAGGTGAGCACCGCACCCCAGAGTTGGATACGACTGGATTTAATGTCAGGGGAAAACCTTTAACTTACCTACTATGCACTTTATATGTTTTTAACTCTATTATTAGTCAATGCATTTATTTGCTTAACTATTTTAATTGTTTAGTTGATTGAATTTGTTTTATGGCCGTGTTTGAAGCAGCATTTAATTTTTGCCAGAGCTGTAAGCTGCCTTGAGTCGCCCAATGAGGTAAGAAAGGTGGGGTATAAATGAAGCAAATAAATAAATGCATTTCAGACAGAGTATGGGACATGTAGTCCTGCAGATGATGCTGGACTCTCACCAACCCTAACTAGTGCAAGCCATGGTAATGGATGATGGGAGAAGCGGTCCAACTGTATATGATGCATTTCTTTCCACTTATAATAAAAGTAACACTGCATTGCAGATCCATGTGCAGCAGACTCTCAAGCAACCAGCAAAAATAAAATCAAAGAATTAATCATTCATTCACAAAGCTGTATTTAGAATACAGTAAAACTGTGTGTGTCTTAATTTGCTTTCAGTTACTGTATTTTAACATTAATATCAAGTCAATACAGAGTTTATGATATGGTATAGCATGAGGCATATTTTTCACTGTAACTCTCAAGCAAACAAAAACTCCATCTGATGGGTGCAGGTTAACTGATAGCCTGCTGTATTTGTAACAAATGGAAAATAATCCACATTTTATCGAACTCAGGATTTGTGTGTGTGTGTGTGTCAGGAGCGACTTGAGAAACTGCAAGTCACTTCTAGTGCAAGAGAATTGGCCATCTGCAAGGACGTTCTCCAGGGGATGCCCAGATGTTTAATGTTTTACCATCCTTGTGGGAGGCTTCTCTCATGTCTCTGCAAGGGAGCTAACAGAGGGAGCTAAACCCGCTCTCCCCGGATTCAAACCACTGACCGCTTGGTCAGCAGTCCTGCTGGCACAAGGGTTTATCCCATTATAGAACCATAGAATCGTAGTTGGAAGAGACCTCATGGGCCATCCAGTCCAACCCCCTGCCAAGAAGCAGGACAATTGCATTCAAAGCACCCCCGACAGATGGCCATCCAGCCTCTGTTTAAAAGCCTCCAAAGAAGGAGCCTCCACCACACTCCGGGGCAGAGAGTTCCACTGCTGAACAGCTCTCAGAGTCAGGAAGTTCTTCCTCATGTTCAGATGGAATCTCCCTTCTTGTAGTTTGAAGCCATTGTTCCGCATCCTAGTCTCCAGGGAAGCAGAAAACAAGCTTGCTCCCTCCTCCCTATGACTTCCTTTCACATATTTATACATGGCTATCATGTCTCCTCTCCCAGCCTTCACTTCTTCAGGCTAAACATGCCCAGCTCTTTAAGCCGCTCCTCATAGGGCTTGTTCTCCAGACCTTTGATCATTTTAGTCACCCTCCTCTGGACACATTCCCATCTCTTCTCTGTTTCCTTTCATCTCTAATCTACAAGCTTGCTCTTTCCTCCCTGTGGCTTCCTCTCACTTGGCTATCATGTCTCCTCTTAGCCTTCTCTTTTGAATGCTAAACATGCCCAGCTCCTTAAGCCGCTCCTCATAGGGCTTGTTCTCCAGACCTTTGATCACTTTAGTCGCCCTCCTCTGGACACATTCCCACCTCTTCTCTGTTTCCTTCCATCTCTGATCTGAGTAACAGAATTAACTATCAACACGTAGCTTGTTGCATATGAAGAGCTCACCTGGCAGCGCCATGCAGCAACTCTAGCAGCCTGAGCTCGACCCCCGGCCCTTTCTCTTCCAGGAACAACTTCCCGAGAGCGACGCTTCCCCGCCGGAAATCTGGGACCAGAGCACTGAGGGCTTTACCACCATCTGCAATAGAGGGGGGGAGAGAAAGAAGGGAGAAATATTTACTTACATAGAAGAGGGGAGACTCTTAGGCAGCCAGTATTCAACTATGTTTTAAAGCATTATGGCTTACTTCACAGTCCCTTCTCTTTTCTCACCGCGGAGTCATTCAATTGTAACTCCTTTCTTCCTTTGGACACTCCCCCTCTAGTCTGGTAATGGAATGTTCCCCTTCCCATGAACCAATCCCAACGAAAGAAGGCGGGCTTGTTGAATTTATTTATTTATCCTGCCAGGAGTGAACCAAAACAGTTGTATTACGTTAAAATCAATCAAACAAACAAACAAAACACAAAGTTTGCAGACCTGGTATCCAGTCAATTATATTACACTTCTAACAGAACAAAGCAAACAAACAGAGAAATACAAAATGTGTGAGTTTGGTAGTTGATTAAATGTCCTTTGACCAGTATCTGGCCACTTGGAGTGTCTCTGGTGTTGCCACAAGAAGGTCCTCCATTGTGCATGTGGCAGGGCTCAGGTTGCATTGCAGCAGGTGGTCAGTGGTTTGCTCTTCTCCACACTCGCATGTCGTGGATTCCACTTTGTAGACCCATTTCTGAAGGTTGGCTCTGCATCTCGTGGTGCCAGAGCGCAGTCTGTTCAGCGCCTTCCAAGTCGCCCAGTCCTCTGTGTGCCCAGGGGGGAGTCTCTCATTTGGTATCAGCCATTGGTTGAGGTTCTGGGTTTGAGCCTGCCACTTTTGGACTCTCGCTTGCTGAGGTGTTCCAGCGAGTGTCTCTGTAGATCTTAGAAAACTATTTCTAGATTTAAGTCGTTGACGTGCTGGCTGATACCCAAACAGGGGATGAGCTGGAGATGTCTCTGCCTTGGTCCTTTCACTATTGGCTGCTACTTCCCGGCCGATGTCAGGTGGTGCAATACCAGCTAAACAGTGTAATTTCTCCAGTGGTGTAGGGCGCAGACACCCCGTGATAATGTGGCATGTCTCATTAAGTATCAGCACAAACACAAAACAATCTATGCGTAATGTATTATCAAAAGAGCATATAGTATTCCATTTACCAAAATCCCCAGTATATAGCTCAATTCAGTGGAACACAGAAATCAAAAGGAGCAGCCGCTCTCAAACGTAACAGTTCTAGGTCTGGATAAGGATTCCACTGTATATAGGCTTCAGGGATACATTCAATAAGAAAAGTCATATAAACAAAGTAAGCATTGTAGTTTGAAGCCATTGTTCTCTAGTCTCCAGGGAAGCAGAAAACAAGCTTGCTCCCTCCTCCCTGTGACTTCCTCTCACATATTTATACATGGCTATCATATCTCCTCAGCCTTCTCTTCTTCAGGCTAAACATGCCCAGCTCCTTAAGCCGCTTGTTCTCCAGACCCTTAATCATTTTAGTTGCCCTCCTCTGAACACATGTATACTCAGCAGCAGAGCAGCATAGCGCAAGGGCAAATGTCTTCACTGTGTCTGGTTGTGATCCCCAGGTTGTGCCAGTCAGCTTTCGTATGATATTGTTTCTAGCACCCACTTTTTGCTTGTTGTTCAGGCAGTGTTCTTGTAGGTCAAAGCACGGTCCAGAGTGACTCCCAGGTATTTGGGTGTGCTGCAATGCTCCAGTGGGATTCCTTCCCAGGTAATCCTCAGAGCTCGGGATGCTTGTCTGTTCTTAAGGTGAAAAGCACATGTCTGTGTTTTAGATGGGTTAGGGATCAGCTGGTTTTCCCTGTAATAGGCAGTAAGAGCACCTAGAGCTTCGGAGAGCTTCTGTTCAACCATCTCAAAGCTCCCTGCTTGAGCAGTAATGGCACGATCATCAGCATAGATGAAACTCTCTGTCCCTTCTGGCAGTGGCTGGTCATTTGTGTAGATGTTGAACATGGATGGAGCAAGCACGTTCCCCTGAGGCAGGCTGTTCTTCTGTTTTCGCCATCTGCTTTTCTGGCCCTGGAACTCAACAAAAAAGCTCCTGTTTTATAGCAGATTTCCTATGAGGCGGATGAGATGGTAATCCTTAGTGATATTATACATTTTTCTCAGGAGGAGGCGGTTGTTCACAGTGTCATGGGCTGCTGACAGGTCTATGAAGACAGGGGGACATGAGAGAAGCCTCCCCGAAGGATTGCAAGATATCCGGGTGTTCCCTGGGCAACATCTTCGTAGACAGCTGATTCTCTCACTCCAGAAGTGACTTGCAGCATGCAACCGAACAAGCAAACCAACCAACGAACCTTTTCAAGATTTGTCAAAGGCTTTCATGGCCGGAATCACTGGGTTGTTGTAGGTTTTTCCGGGCTATATGGCCATGTTCTGGAGGCATTTTCTCCTAACGTTTCGCTTGCATCTATGGCAAGCATCCTTAGAGGTAGTGAGGTCTGTTGGAAGTAGGAAAATGGGTTTATATATCTGTGTAATGACCAGGGTGGGACAAAGGACTTTTGTCTGCTGGAGCTAGGTGTGAATGTTTCAACTGACCACCTTGATTACCATTTAATGGCTTGGAAGTGCCTGGGGGGAATCTTTTGTTGAGAGTGATTTGATGTGCCTGATTGTTTACTCTCTGTTGTTTTGCTGTTGTAATTTTTGAGTTTTTTAATACTGGTAGCCAGATTTGTGTTATCAATCACAGAAGTGTGATTGATAACACTTCGGACCAATAGGAGCGCAGCAAAGTTTGTTGCCTGAAGGAGTAGAAAAGTGTTATACATTTGAGTCAAAGAAGACTTTAGTTTGTGCCTCGTCTCCAGAGACATTGAACAAAGCTCAACCAATTACACCACACGCGCGAGCCATTCTTTCCGCCCATTCCTTCCCTATGTCATCATTACACCAGCCGGGCTCAATCTACAGCTCACTGTTCCGAGGCGGATAGAAAGTTTAGAGTGGCGGTGTTCAGTCGGTAGGCTTTAGGCAACGCACCTTAGACTGTACCAATATCTAATGGGGGAGGCCTCCCGAGTTATGAGATAAGTACTGATACGGATTGGATCCATGTCCTCCCATCCACTGCCTTAACAAGTTATATATTGTGAGACGCCGAGCCAGGTTCCAATAACAAGGTTTGGAGACTTGGCTTTCCTTCAGTGTTGCTCTCTCTCTCTTCTGTCCCCCCCCCGTTGCCGAAGTGGTAGCGCCCACTTTCCAAGATGGCGGGAGGTTTGCCCTGGAGCCTTGCTTAAACCGAAGGGAAAGCGCTTTCCTTCCGTGTTTTCTTCCCTGTCGAAGGACTGGGTCGAAGCCAGCGCCATGAGCAACATCTACATCCAAGAGCCGCCCACCAACGGCAAGGTGAGGGCTCATTTCGGGAGAGGAAGAGCTGGGGTGCGTCTACACTGCGGAATTAACGCGGTTTGAACCCGCTTTGAACTGCCATGGCTCAATGCTGTGAAATCCTGGTAGTTTTACAAGGTCTTTGCCCTACCCTGCCAAAGAGTGCTGATGCCAAACGACAACTCCCATCATTGCATAGCACTGTGCCCTGGCAGTTAAAGTGGTGTCAAACTGCATTAATTCGACAGTGTAGATGCAGCCTAATAGCAAAGCTGTTGGTCTTTGATGTTAATTTTTAATCTACATTTTGTTTCTTGCCATGCCAGTTTATGTTTGTGTGGAGTTTTTGGAAAAGGGCATTCATAACATTTTGGAAAACGTCATTTGGAGATCATAACTTTTTAAGAAAAGCATGACCTTTCAGAGAAGAGCCAAAAACGCTTTAGTGTAAACTCTTCTCTTGTGGTATACAACCAGATATAATTATGCAAGGCAATGGTTTCAGTTGTTAGACTGAATAACCTGTTTATTTATTTATTTATTTATTTATTTATTTACTTTGCTTGTATACCGCAGTTTCTCAGCCCGTAGGCGACTCAACGCGGTTCACAACAAGAGCAAAAAGTCAGTCCAACAGCATATAGTTTAAAAACCATTAACAGCATAGTACAAAAGTAATAACACATCAATAACAACACATTAATGTCTCGTAGTCCAATTCGTCATCCGTGATTCCGTTCCTATATTCATTGTATTAATTGCAGTGTTTAACCGAATGCCTGTTCAAACAGCCAGGTTTTTAGTTTTCTTCGGAACACCATTAGCGTAGGATCTGATCTAATGTCCATGGGAAGGGTGTTCCACAGCCGAGGGACCACCACAGAGAAGGCCCTGTTATCGCTGATCTGTTAGAAAACAGATTTTGCCAGTGCCAAAATAAACAGCAGGGCAAAAGTATGATAGCTGGGATCCTACGTTGGTTGCGCAATGCGGGCATGAATTAATGAGGAAAGCACATGCGCAAGACAGCTCAGCGAGTGATAGACGCAGCTGCGACAGAGTCGTGGGAACATTGTTCACCAGAAAGGGGGAGAGGAAACATTTCTGTCCCGTTTACCGTCTTCGTAAGCTGTTGTTTATCATTTCACAGTAAATAACTATCATTTCTTCACTCGCCTTAAGCACTATGCTTGGCTGTTTGTTGTGTCCCCCCCCCCCCGTCATTAATTCTGACCCTCATTGAGCATGTAGCATACCATAGGGTCCCAGCTATCATACTTTTGCCAACAGCAGTGCTTCAGAAGTGTTTTTTCAGTGTCCAAAAATATACTCTCCCATAAAACAACTTGTTTTATGTATTGTCGAAGGCTTTCATGGATGGAAATACTGGGTTGCTGTGAGTTATCTGGGCTGTATGGCCATGTTCCAGAAGCCTCCTCTCCTGTTGTTTCACCCACATCTATGACAAGCATCCTCAGAGGTTGTGAGGTATATTGGAAACAAAGCAAGGGAGGTTTATATATTTGTGAAAGGTCCAGGGTGGGAGAAAGAACAATCAGGGCCAGCTAACACCTCCCAACAAAGGATTCCCCCAGGAAGGAATCAGCCAGGCCTTGAAGCTGTGAGGATTTGTGATGCTAATCAAGGTGATTAACTGCAACATTCACACTTGCCTCCAACAGACAAGAGTTCTTTCTCCCACCCTGGACCTTCCACAGATATATAAACCTCCCTTGCTTAGTTTCCAATATACCTCAAAACCTCTGAGGATGCCTGCCATAGAGGTGGGCGAAACATCAGTAGAGAATGCTTCTGGAACATGGCCATACAGCCTGGAAAACTCACAGCAACCCAACTTGTTTTATATCATGCACTCAAGAGACAAAAAATAAGTAGACTTGGATAAAAATGACATATTTGGTTTACTCACAACATTCATGTGTTCAGCATACACAGGTGCAGAACTTATCAGTCCAGTTTCAGATATGTTTGAGATAATTCTCTGTACTATCTGGCCAGAACATCTCTTATAGCAAAACAAAAGGTGTGTGATCTGAGGTCTGAAGTCTGCAATCAGCAATCTGTAGTAATCTGCTATGATCATGTGGCCTGTAGTCTGCAATAGTCTGTCTGTCTGTCCGCAGTCTGTTATATTGATCATGTGGTCTAAAGCCCCTTTTATAACTTCTTAAGAACCATAGAGCAAAGGAAGCTGCATACCAGAACATACATATAAAGAGTAAGCAACAGGATCACAGATAAACATTACTAGTGAAGGCTTGAAGAAGGATGTCATTTCCAACAGTGTGGGGAATAAGCAAATTGGATTTTTAGTCAGTCAGAAGTAGTGAATGCTGGATTTAATGATCTCTGAGCACATAATTAAATAAAAGACATCATTGGATGTGCCTATGTGGCCTGTCAAGTACAGATGTGACAAGAAATAAGATGTAACTGATGCATCAAGGTACGGTTTGTAATGTGCATTCAGAAATGTGTAAATGGTTCATCCTTCATTATTAAACGGGGTCTGTGTATGTTTTATGGCAGGCAAGGGCCAATTTGGGCCCTCCAGGTGTTTTGGACTTCAACTCCCATAATTCCTAACAGTCGGCACCAGATCCCATTTGATCTTGGAGGGTCGAAGTTTGCCCATGCCTGTTTTATGGACTTGGAACCCAGACACATTTTTCACTGCATCTAAAATAAACTTTTCTGATCTCCTACTCAGTGTTCTTACCTGGTTCAAGTGTACTAAACCCCTTCGTTAGGGATAACACAAAGACATAACTGAGTGCATCAAGTTTTTATGAAATGCTCTCCAGATTAACTGACTGTTCCTGAAGCCTTCCATATGTGACCATTGCATGTTTTGTGGGAAGCAACAAGCAGGAGGGCAGATGTGCCTGGTTACATAGAATTGTAGAATAGGAATAGAACCCAAGGACCATCCTGTCCAACCCCATTGTGGCATGTAGAAAAAGCACAATCAAAGTAGCCCCAACAGATGGCCATCCAGCTTCCGCTTAAAAACCTTCAGAGAAGGGGACTCCATCATTCTCTGAGGCATGTTCTACTGTTGAGCAGCTCTTGCTGTCAAGAAGCAGAAAACAAGCTTGCACCCTCTTCAATGTGGCATCCTGTCAATAATTAAGCATGGCTATCATGTCCCTTTCTCGACCTTCTTTTCTCCAAGCTAAACATTCTTAACTCCCACTCTTCATAGGACTTGTCTTCCAAACCTTTGGTCATTTGAGTCGCCCTCCTCTGGCCATGTGGTAGCTTATCAATATCTCTCTGGAACTGTGGTGCCCAAAACTGGACACAATGTTCCTGATGAGGTCTGACCAAAGCAGAATATAGTGAGGCTATGACTTCCCTTGATCACAACACTATACTCCTGTTGACGCAATTTAGATTGCATTGCCAGTTCCTTCCTCTGAAATATAGGCTAGCCCAGGCATGGGCAAACTTTGGCCCTCCAGGCTTTTTAAACTGCTGCATCACAATGTTGACTCAGCTTATGGTCTACTAAGGCCCCTTCTACACTGCCATATAAAAGCCATATTATCTGGTTTGAACTGGATTATGTAGTAGTGTAGACATATAATCCAGTTCAAAGTAGATAATGTGGATTATCAATTTTGATAACCTGGATTATATGGCAATGTAAAAGGTACCCAAGACACCTAGATCCCTTTCAAATGGACTGCTTCAACCCAGGTGTCACCCGTCCTTTATTTTTATTGCCAAAGTGTAGGTCTGTGTATATTTGTCCTTACTGAAATTCATTGTTAGTTTTGGCTCAGTTCTCTAATTTCTTAAAGTTATTTTGGATTCTGATCCTGTCCTCTGTGGTATTAGCTTTCCTTCCCAGTTTGGTGTCATCTGCAAATTTGATGAACATACCTTCTATTCCTTCCTGACATGTGAAGGAAACAAGTGTGTGCACGTGTTCCTAACAAGATGCCAGCCTCTATGTGGGTTTGAAGAAAATGGATAGCGAGATTTTTCTCTCTCTCATAATTCTAGAAACTTGTGTCATCTACTGAAGTTAAATGAGGCAGATACAAGGTGGTACAAGTTAGGTATTTCTTATCTGAAATTCTTGGATTTCAGATTTTTAGGGATTTTTAAACACCTATATTTGTGTAAAATGATATCTTGGAGATGGGATGCAAGTCTAAACATGGAATTAATTTGTGTTTCATATAAACCTTATACACATACGGTAATCTGAAAATAATTTTATACATGAAACAAAGTTTCTGTACATGGAACTATCATAAAGCAAAAGTGTCACTTTCTCAGCCACTTATGTGGACAATTTTAGAGTGCTACTACTGTCCTTACTGGGGAAATTACCATTATTAGAACTCTGTTACCTCAAACCCACCCACATTCATTCCTTCACACACCCCAAAGGAAGCAGAATTAGCAACAGCCAGAAAACTTCAAACTGACACTGACAATTTATTAAATTTCCCACCTCGCCTCTGGTTGTCTCAGAGGCAGAAGCAGACTCATACCTCTTCCAGTGAGGCTGGGAGTCCTAGCCAGCACCTCCAGGGCCAATGGGAAGCGAGCATGGCAATTTTCAATTGTTCTATACTGCTATAAAGAACCCATGGGTTCCCAGTTGGGTTGTGTCAGTACTTTAAGCGCTAGCTCTGCTGATACCCTCTTTGGCCATTGAGAATAAAAGACTGATTTTGCCTTCACACCCATCTGTGCTTCTTTGAACCTTCTGGCTACTTAACATTCCAGGCTTCATAATCCCACAATTGAGGGGAGTTGAAACCTCTTAACAAATTTGGAAACCACGAAGGGATTCAAACCCTCCTTCTTAGTGAAAATTTGATCTTAAAATTAAGGTGATGCCTGTTGTTGTTCATTTGTTCAGTCGTTTCCAACTCTTCGTGACATGGACCAGCCCACGCCAGAGCTCCCTGTCAGCCGTCACCACCCCCAGCTCCTTCAAGGTCAATCCAGTCACTTCAAGGATGCCATCCATCCATCTTGCCCTTTGTCGGGCCCTCTTCCTTTTTCCTTCCATTTTCCCCAGCATCATTGTCTTCTCGAAGCTTTCCTTTTTTCTCATGATGTGGCCAAAGTACTTCATTTTTGTCTCTAATATCCTTCCCTCCAATGAGCAGTTGGGCTTTATTTCCTGAAGTATGGACTGGTTGGATCTTCTCGCAGTCCAAGGCACTCTCAGAACTTTCCTCCAGCACCACAGTTCAAAAGCATCTATCCTCCTTCACTCGGCCTTCCCTATGGTCCAGCTCTCACATCTGTAGATGTGATGCCTAGCCAACTGAAAAACAAAGAATTCTGCTTAGCGAGTTGTTAGCTTGGATACATTACAGTGTGATCATATAAATATTCAGATATAAGACACTTTGTTCAATGAGACAATACAAGGAGATCTACATAAGATTGCATCCTTAACTGATCTCATTTGCAGCTGTTTCATGCTCTAAAGGCACCAGATCGCCTCTGATCTTAGAAGTTAAGAAGGCCAAACTCTGGTTAGAACTTGAATGGGAGACTGCCGATGAATACCAGATGCTAGTGTATATTTCAGAGGAAGGTACTTCTATGTATTGTCGAAGGCTTTCATGGCTGGAATCACTAGGTTCTTGTGGGTTTTTTCGGGCTATAGGACCATGTTCTAGAGGCATTTCTCCTGACGTTTCGCCTGCATCTATGGCAAGCATTCTCTACCTCTGAGGATGCTTGCCATAGATGCAGGCGAAACGTCAGGAGAAATGCCTCTAGAACATGGCCCTATAGCCCGAAAAAACCCACAAGAACCTAGTGAAGGTACTTCTGCGTAATACTTGCCTGAGAAAACCCTGTGAAATTCAGAGGATTGCAATAAGTCAACAGGGGATTTGAAAGTGCATATATACACATCCTTTTGTGATTAGTTGAAAGTTCTCATTATTTCTGTTATCTAAGACTGGTTCTACACAGCCATATAATACGGTTTGAAAGGCATTACATGGTCAGTGTAGAAACCTATAATGTCTATCAAACTGTATAATATGGCAGGGAAGAACCATCATATTCTCGTTGCTCCTTTTGTTAATTTCACACAGGAGAACTTTATTACGTTATATTTGAGAAGGTATCTAGCATCTGGAAGTTATAAGAAGAGTAATTATCCACGATGAAGATCTTAGAGCATTTGCCGTAGAGGCAAATCCCCTCTGAACTGATCTTGCCAAGAAAACTTAATGATTTTGTCTTAGGGTCATGATAAGTGACATATAGCTGAGAATCTGCTAATTTGTGTCAGTGTTCACAAACTATAGATGTATATTTATTGAGGCATTTCTTTGGTTCAGGAGCAGCCATTCTACAGGTCGGTTTTCTGCCGTGAGAATCTCTGACATCTGTATAGAAAGCCAAAAATACTAGAAAATAAAGTTTACTTTCTATGTGGAAGAACTGGCTTTAATTTTTTTTAACAAAATTGGAATCCTATAATTCTTTTAAAGGGTGAATTGCTGCTCCTGGAGGCTTCACAAATAGGCTTGGGGTCTCCATGTATCCCAGGGCTGTCTTTGCCCACTTCTGATGTCATTCAAATTGTGCCAAGTACATCCTTTTCCCATTGTTTTGAGTTGAAGAGGGTTCAGTTTTCTGAGAAAACAGGAACTGCTTCTGGTGTCTATTTTAGGCTAAGCATGCCCAAGGGACTCATAGCTTTCTTTCCTCACTGCTGCTCCAATAGTAATCCCTATTTGCTTCTAGCTGGAAGTCATGAGATTATTTCAGTTCCCGACCAAAGTGCTACTTTGGGAATTCTGACAGCAGTCCCAGCAAGGAACAGACCAACTTAAGTTCAGTCCCTTCATTTCTTCTGTAGACCTCACTCCTGTCAATGGAAAAAAGTGACTGCTGACACATGAAAAGGACTTCTGTAGTGATGGAAAATAATAATAATGATCATTAATAAATAAACTTCATTTATATCCTGCCCCCTCTCCCAAAAGGAACTCGGGGCATCTGATGTGCCCTTTTCTTTCAGTGTTGATTCATGAAGGAAGTTGGGAAGTGAATGTAGTGAGTATGTTTATGAACAGATCCATCAAATTTAATATGACCTTGCTTATAATATGGCCTTGCTTATAAGCGACCCTTCCCAGCCTGGTGTCTGCCAGATATAGTCTCCAAATGTTTCCATCCAGAATGGCCAAAGGCATACTTACCCAACAGCATCAAAATAGTTACAGGAATGTTACAGCGCAAAGCTGAAGTACATAGATAGTGTACCAAGGCTAGCTGCTAGAAAATCCCCCACATGGGATATTCAGAATTCTTAAATTTTACTTTTTTGACTCTCAGAATTGTTAGTCAGTTGGCCCTCCACATCTACACTTTTGTGGATTGTATTATTTGCAGATGTTGACCATAGAATTGTGCTAGAGGACCCACAAATTCCTAGCGAGAACACTTCTATAGGCATTTCTAGGACCTACTGCACAATTCTATAGTCAACATCTTGCAGTTACAATGCAGAGCAAGTTGAGATTAAAGTATAATGTGGTACCTGAGTTGTGGGAGTTCCCAAACAGGCATGAATTTAAGAAGGGAGAACTGCATTATAGTAATGAAAGTAACAGTTAAAACTGGATATGTTGCAAGACTGCTTGTCCTTATGTTTTAGCTATATTCAGAAGAAAGGGGAGTTTCTGGTGGCATCTAAGAAAGCGTCAATGTCTGAAGCTGTACTTCCAAGATTTGGTGAACTAGAGCACACACATGTCTTTGAAAATGGCTTCTACTTTTTTCCCAGGTTTTACTGAAAACAACTGCTGGAGACATTGACATTGAACTATGGTCAAAAGAGGCTCCCAAAGCATGTCGAAACTTTATTCAGCTTTGCATGGAAGGTAAGATAGAGATTCCTGTGATTTTGAGAGTATATATTTGCATGTCAGTGAAGGCACTACATTTCAACAAGAATACATAGTCCTTAACGTATTTCTTTACAGTGCATTATAGATTACACTGACTTATCATTTGGAAGTATAGAACCACAATTAGGAATACTAAAAAAAAAAAAACCAAAATGTTAAAAACAGTCAGTTCCTATTTTGTCTGCTGTTAAGAATTCATAGCAGCTTCTGATAAATGTTGTGTTGCCGTTTGTGAAGGGAGAATAATCAGAAGTTATTGTTATTTCACACAGGAGCATATTACTTTTTCTTGTAATCCTTCTGCATTTGTGAAAACACTCTCCATTGGAGAGGGGCTTGACTTGCATGGGAGACTTTTCTTCAAAATCCCATCCCAGTCATCAGTGTTCTCATGTTTTCCTTGAGTCCTCTAACAATTTCAGAGATGGAATTTTTCAGGATTCCATAGAAGTTAAGATGGCAGACCTCATAACCTCTGAGGATGCCCGCCCTAGATGCAGGCGATACGTCAGGAGAAAATGCTTCTGGAACATGGCCATACAGCCCAGAAAACTCGCAAACTCAAGCCTTTGGATCTTATTGAAGAGAGAAGCAGAGTTTGAACAAGAAAAGAAGAAGCAAAAGATAGATGGTCATGATCTGTGAGTCCTGGTCCAGTCTTAGAAGAATTGAAAACACTTGATTTATTTTTTTTGTCAAGGAAGGTTGAGGCTATTTTGACAAGAGTCGTTCAATCAAAAGGTTAACAAGGCCTATGTTTTGTGATTTCCAGTAGGCAGCGTTGGGACAGTCTAGATCAGTGGTTCTCAACCTGGGGTCCCCAGGTGTTTTTGGCCTTCAACTCCCAGAAATCCTAACAGTAGGCCAACAACATCTGGGGACCCCAGGTTGAGAACCACTGGTCTAGATATATTTTAAGCTAAGGGTTAGAATTAGGATATTTAGTTAATAAAATATGGATTACACATGTTTTGATTTTTAGACTGTATAAACAAAGATATATTAAGAGATCCACTGAGATCTCTTAATTTCCAGCAAAGTGAAATTTGGGAACTTCTACACAAGAAAATCGGGGAATAGAGAGGAAATGGGGTTTGCCCACATATGAAAACAGTACTTATGGATCCCCATCAGTAATTTTATTTGAGATAAAATTTTAACTGTTTCTAAATTTTGAAATGGCTGAAAGTTTAGAAAGTTAACAAATTTTCTTCATTTTTTCATGTATAAGTCATTCAAAGTAGTTTTCTTTGAAGGGATGACATTTCTCTTAACATCCACAGCTCAGTTACCAGTGGAACATTTGCTGCAATTGTAAACTAATACAATACAACATTTCTTTTCAGATTATTACGACAACACAATATTTCATAGGGTTGTTCCCGAATTTATAGTGCAAGGTGGAGATCCAACCGGTACTGGGGAAGGAGGAGAGTCAATCTATGGTGCTCCTTTCAAGGTAAACCTCTGTTTATGTGGATTTCACTTTCCATTGGTAAAATATATTTGTCATTTTGTTGTGCTTTGGTAAATAAGTGCTTCTAACTATTTGTTAATTGGGATAGCTGAAAACAAAGATCTTCCTGGTGTGAGTTGTTTCTGATGTAATTAAAGTAATCTGTTTTTGTAAGTTGTCACTTGATCCATATTGCAAGTCCTTGGATCTTTTCTACTTCAGTAAATTATATGAGTCACTTTTCCAGAGAAGATATTCATACATTTAGGTCAACACAAGTTTGAAGTATATAATGAAAGCAGGTGTTGCTTTTAACTACTAAATAATGGTTTTTGATGTTATATACTGAAGGTCATTCTGTGCTTATGAATGGGCAAGCTGTTGAATAACAACAACCAATTAAACTTGTTCCTTAATTGTTTTTCCTCTTAATTCACAGGATGAATTCCACTCACGACTGCGCTTTAATCGGCGAGGACTGGTTGCCATGGCAAACGCTGGGCCTCACGATAATGGCAGCCAGTTCTTCTTTACTTTGGGTCGTGCAGATGAACTTAATAACAAGCACACCATCTTTGGAAAGGTTTGCCCAGCTTCAGTCTTGCACCTTTTCCTATTGGATCTTGGTTTGTTTACTCAGAAATATCAGATGAAAGTTTAGTGAGTCGTTGAAACCCCCTTGAAAAGGTGTTTTGGGCTTTAATCTAAAAACAAGGTTGCATTCTGTTCATTATAAATGATATCAAGTACAAAAGATAATAAAACAAAGAACAAGTAAACTGATAATTACAAAAACTTAATCTGGAGTAAGAACCCACCTAAGGCGCATCTATGTGTACCCTGAAATCCAAGGCCAGTCTGGAGGAGGAGGAGGAACCCTACAGCAGCAGTGGAGCAGAATCCAAACTATCCAGTTCAGTCCTGCTAGATTATCACCTTGCTGTCACTGCTGGAGCATTGGGATTGGTCCTGAACATTCCTGGGGACCTTTGGTGACATCAGTAAAGTTGCTTGCCCAACCAGAGAGAGGTAGAAGAGTGATCCCAATTTTTTGCAAGGTCCCATGTATACTGCCATTTAATTCAGTTTCACATTGCAGTTTAACTGCATTGAAGTGCATCATATGGCAGTATAGACCCATATAATGCAGTTCAGTGCATTATGAAACTACATTATATGACAGTAGAGATGGGGCTCAAGACCTGATTGCTTCCAAAGGGATATTTTGTTAGTCTCTTTCAAGACAAATAGTGAAAAAGGTTATGGCACCTTAATGATGCCATGTTTAAAAAATTATCTTCATGTCTCTTTGATTCAGTCTTCAGATCTATTTTGTCATCCACCAAACCTAACACATGTCGTCTCCCACACTATTTTGCTTGTGTCTCAGTGTTCCAATTTGTCCACTTCAGACTGTAAAAAAGCTTTTATTGATTCCCCCCCCCCTCTCTCTATGGCTTCTTGCCAGCCTCTGCCTTAAACCCTTTACAGTTTAAAATGATTATTTTAGTTTCCTGCTTAGTATCCATACAGCAGTACATACTCAGAAGTTTGTTAAAGAAAGTAAAAGCAAAAAAAAAAAAAAATAGAATGAGAGGCAGATAGATCAACCATAAAACAAAGTAAAATGTAAGCACAAGCTGACAAAAACAAAATATCAACACTACTTAATCATTTTTCCTTCTCTTGTGGAAGCCTGTGAGGGAACAAGTATTTCTCTCCATAACCAGAACAGTCTAATCTAACTTTTTCTTATAAGGTACTTGTTTGTAGCAAGTCTGTTAGAATACATTCATTCTTATTGATTTCTAAATCAATAATAGCCTGAACTAGACAATGAACAGGAAAACAGGTGAGCATCTGTAGTTTTCCAAGTGTTGTATTACCCCCATGATTCCATAGCATTGAGCCATGGCAGTTAAAGTGGTGTCGAACTGCATTAATTCTATGGTGTAGGTGCATCCTAGGAAACAGTAAAGCAATAAGCATCTCAGTATCTTTTAGTAGTAAGAAGAAGCACAGTGATAAAAGACACAATTACCGATACATCAATATGTCTGTATTTTACATAGCTATGCTACAAGATAGAAAAATAGCACTAGTGCAAATGAACAAATGTGCTAGGGAACCTTTCCTTGAATTAACTAACAAAAGAAAGTTCCAGTTGTGTGTGTATATTTGTCTTCAAGTTACCTGTCAACAAACTATGCATCATTGAAAACATGGCTGTGAAGCTACTGGGTTATTTTCTTCTATTTGAAGTCTAGCCTAGATTCTTTAGTTTCTTTTTCTTTTATAAAAGTTTGTCTTTGCATCTCACAGCAGGACTGCTGAACAACAGATATGGGGTTTTAATCCTGGGAAAGCGGGTTGAGCTCCCTCTGTCAGCTCCAGCTCCCCATGTGGGGACATGAGAGAAGCCTCCCACAAGGGAGGTAAAACATCAAACATCCAAGTGTCCCCTGAGCGACGTCTTTGCAGACGGCCAATTCTCTCACATCTGAAGCGACTTGCAGTTCCTCAAGTCGCTCCTGACATGAAAAAAAGAACAGTCCTTGTTTATGGAAAATTAGTAAAGTGAAAATACAAGTTTTCATACGCTAATATCAGTACTGTTTTTTTCACAGTATGCGTGAAATACATAATACATGATAAAAGGTAAGGTAAAGTTTGTCCCCTGAGATTAAGTCCTGTCGTGTCCGACTCTGAGGGGTGGTGCTCATCTCCATTTCTAAGCCGAAGAGCTGGCATTGTCCGTAGATGCCTCCAAGGTCGTGTGGCCAGCATGACTGCATAGAGCGCCGTTACCTTCCCGCCAAAGCGGTACCTATTGATCTACTCACATTTGCATGTTTTCAAACTGCTAGATTGGCAGAAGCTGGGGCTGACCGCGGAAGCTTACGCCGCTCTCCAATTTCGAAACTGCGACCTTTCGGTCAACAAGCTTAGCAGCCCAGTGGTTTAACCCACTGCGCCATCGGGGGCTCCCAGTACATGATGCATCTTTCTAAAACTATTCTGAACATCCTTTGAAGAAGACATAATTGCTATACCTTTTAAAAATCTTTTCCTATTTTACAGGTTACTGGAGATACCGTATACAACATGTTACGACTTTCAGAGGTTGAAACAGATGCAAATGAAAGACCAAGCAATCCATATAAAATAAAATGTACAGAGGTAAATATAATTTTTTTCTAAACAGACGAAAATAATATAAAAATTGAATTAATTTCTTGTATTGTACTTTTATTGAAGAAATTACCAAGCCAAATCTTGTATATGACAGTTGCATATTTTCAAAATTACTGAAACTTCACTAAATGTTGTTCTGTATTGCTTGGGTGGTTTTAGAACAATATTATTATTTTATTGGAGAGTCTTAAAGATTTGTAAAATAATCTCCCTACAGGTTTTATTTAATCCTTTTGACGACATAGTTCCAAGAACCAGTAAAAAGCTGAAGAATGAGAAACCAATGGAAGAAGAAAAGAAGGTCAAATCCAAGGGCACAAAGTAATTAAAATCTTTCCTTCCTACAGATTCACTTATAAAATTATATTAAGTAATTAGGATGTGATCTGTGTGTCACCGCTAAATGATAGTAACTTCAAATAACTTCTTAATTATATAAAGTAAATATAGGGTATAGAGTGAGCTTTTATCTTTTTTTGAATTGGGTTTATTATGAAATTAAGTAGAATAAAACATTTATTTTTGCTTTTTTTCTTCTGGAAGAAATTTTAGCTTGCTTTCTTTTGGAGAGGAAGCTGAAGAAGAAGAAGTGGAAGTCAACAAAGTTAGTCAGGTAATAGTTTCAGATTGACCTCCTGTGAAACTTTCCTCTTAAAAAACGTACTTTGTTTTCCTCAGCTCTGTTCACCTTGCTGTCTGTTATAACTATATTGCTCAGCAATAAAAACATTGTATTCTAATGCATGATGCCAGAATGTCAGAAGCGAACTGAGAATACAATTATAATGCATTTTAAAAACCCACAAACAAAGGTTAAAACTTGGCATTATACTAAATTTCCTTTGATCAGAAGCTGGCCACTTGGAGTGCCTCTGGTGTTGCTGTGAGGCAATCCTCCATTGTGCGTGTGGCAGGGCTCAGACTGCATTGTCGTGGGTGGTCTGTGGTTTGCTCTTCTCCGCACCCCCATGTCATGGACTCCACTTTGTAGCTCCATTTCTTAAGATTGGCTCTGCATCTCGTGGTGCCAGAGCACAGCCCGTTCAGTGCCTTCCAAGTTGCCCAGTCTTCTGTGTGCCTAGTTTCTCATCTGGTATCAAGCACAGATTGAGGTTCCAGGTTTTAACCTGCTCGTTTTGGACTCTTGCTTGCTGAAGTGATGCCAGATATGGGACACTGAGTCTAAACAGGAACAGGAATCTTGTGGCCCTCTTGATATTGTTGGACACAATCCTCATAAACCCAGGAGAATTATAGTCCCAGCAGCTGTATCCTGAGGAAAGCAAATTATGGCTCTATGGCATAATTGTGGCTCAGGCTGCATGCTCAAGGCCACCCTTACATACCCTAAAGCATAGTTTAAATTAACCATATTTTAAAGAACATACATAATAAGAAACTGTGAATGATTGAAAATGTATATAAAACTTCAGTACTCTTGCAGTTGCTTGAGAGGATCTGAGAGGGGATTACTTGAACTTCACTCTTGTAGCACTTAATCATAATTTAGTGCTACTTTCTTTTGTATAATATAATACTACATTATGTCAATAATAGTCTCTATTGAGTGGATAGTTTATCCCTGCAAAGGGAGCTGGAGCTGAGAGATTTGAACCTCCGAGCTTTTGGTCTCAGTCCTGCCGGCTCAAGGGTTTAACCCATTTTACCACCGGTGGCTCCTTAGCTCAACAGTATTACCAAGAGTATTGAAGATAGCTCGGAAACTGCAGTTAGTGCAAAGGTCGGCGGCCAGATTACTAACAGGAGCTGGTTATAGAGAGCATACCATGCCCCTGCTAAAGCAGATCCACCAACTGCCCTATACAGTTCAAGTCCAACCTACATCTCTTTCTATGCATCTCTTTCTATGAACCAGGACAGGCACTAAAAACTATCAGGGAGGCCCTATTCTCAGTCCCACCCCCATCTCAAGTACGGTTGGTGCGGACGAGACAGAGGGCCTTCGTGGTGGTGGCCCCCCAGCTTTGGAATGCCCTCTCAAGGGAGATCAGGCTAGCTGTACTTCCCAAGCCTTCCATAAACAATTGAAGACATGGTTCTTTCGACAAGCCTTTGACCACATTTAGACTCCTTTAATGAATATATGCACTTTACAAGACAGACTGATTACTGTTGTTTTTACCTTCAGCTATTGCTGTGTTCTATTGATTTTAACTAGGGGGCATTGTGAAGTTGTGATGTTTATGTTGATTTATATTGTTATTGTTTTTACACTTTCTGTATTTGGTGTGGTTGCACCTCAAGTGCCTTGTGAGCCACCCTAAGTCTCTCTGGGGGATGGTGGCAGGGTACAAATAAAGTTTATTATTACATTTATAAAAACCAATATGATTTGTTCAATTTGTTTTGTATATGGTTGTTTCTCCTACTTTCTGTTAGTTTCTGATGAGCTGGATTTATGTTGAAGTCTTGGTCTTTGCCGGTGGAACTAAACAAGACAAACAAGACTGCACAGACGTTTTTCTGTATTTGCCAGAGATTTTGGCTAATTTCACTAGCATAGATTGTATGATGTACAAATGAGAATATTTTGCATATATGCCATTCCTTGCTGATTCTTTTTTTTCCAAATTTTAGAGTATGAAAGGAAGAAGCAAAAGCAGTCATGACTTACTGAAAGATGACCCCCTCCTGAGTTCAGTCCCTGCAATTGAAAGGTTAATATGCTACTTGCTAATTAGCATCTGTGCCAAATAAGATACATTGCATCTCTGTTTATGTGTTTGCTATGCCATAAACCTGCAATTATCTGTTACTGTTCTCTTCCTTCCTCATCCTGCTAATGAAGATGATTCTGTTGAAAGATATAGTTATTAAAAACATTTATGAGCTGCCTTTGGGACAAACATTCTCAACACAATTAAAATCATTAAGAACATAATAAAATGCAAAACAATAACTTTCCTATGCACTTCCCTAACTCTCTGTTTTTTTATTTTAAGGTTATCCTGTGAATTTAAAGCTAAGATGGAGTGAGATAGCCCCCAGAAGTGTCAGGGTGTGTTCGAAATGGTGTCTCAGCTGCCTTGAAATTATATTTGTCATAATGCAGAAACAATAGACATAAAGGAATTTCACCCTTCTGTCAAAACACACAAAAGCATATACAACCAGCTTCCATATCCATGGATTCAACCATCCATGGCTTGAAAATATATATGTAAAAATCCCAAAATCAAAACTTAATTTTGTTGGGCGAGTGGGCTTATTAATAAAAGACCCACCTCATAAATGTACAGCAGAGTAACTTATTAGCAGCAGCATGACCCAGCACCAGTAGTCCAAAGTGATAAAAAGAACAAAAATGCACAAACCAATGTTATCTCTCCCATAGGAGGCTTTTCTTTATTGACAAATTATATGGTTGCACTATTTACAAGAACAAGGTTCAACCTTCACATTGCAGTTTAACATGAGGCCTTCTCATACTGAGGCTTACCTCACACTGTGAGGCCAACATCACACAGAGGCTTCTCTCGAGTAAGGCCTACCTCACACTGTGAGACCTTCTCTAACAAACTAAGGCCTACCTCACACTGTGAGGCCTTCTCACAGACTAAGACCTTTCTCCCACTGAGGCAAACTAACACAGAGGCCTACTAAGCTACAGGCACACCTGCTTGTATAGAACTGCAGCTTTTGCTGACTCATTGCATCCATTTAACTCTTTCAGTGCTTGAATCACATTTTTTGTAATTTAAAATAACTAGTAAATTTTTCTACAAATTTCACCCTTTGATATAATCCCCTTTTTATATAATGGGACTAAAGCATCCACAGAGTTTGGTATTCACAGGATGAAGGTCCTGAAACCAAACAGAGAGCAGGAACCTACTGTATTTGTGCAAGAATGTTACCTTCTTCTTCTAGCCCATTTCAAAATAATTTGGCTTTTTTAATTGAAAGGCAGCAGGGATCTCTTTGTGCTCCTTACTCCACCATAATTTGTCTATCCTGTAGGCAGAGGTGTCGCAGTTGTGGCCCTCCAGATGTCCAACTCCCAGAAGCCCTAGCCAGCTTGTCCAGTGGCCAGGAATTCTGGGAACTGAAGCCCAAAATGCCTGGAAGACCACAAGTTTGATACCACTTCTGTAGCCCATTCCTTTCCTCCCATCCCATTTACTCTCTGGTCCCTCTTATCTACATTCCTCCTTTTAGCTCCCTTGTCTCTCCCCTTTCTTCCAAAATTCAGATTACATTGTTCTGTATGGAATTGCTCATGGGCTGTGCTGTGTCAATTGTATTTTCAGCAGTAGCAGCTACTGTTTCTGAATATTAAAGTGGTAGATATTTATAAAGGATGGTGCTATAAGTGTTGGACTAAAGGACGACAACTCAGGGCCCTTCCAAACAGGACCAAAATCTAAGTTTCTTTCTGGATTAGCCTAAGGTGTCCAAACAACACCTCAAGCTAAACCAGTTAAACTTGAAGTCACCTTCCCAGGTATGGGGCCTGTTGAGATTGACTCTTGGAATTGCCTTCCGCAGGGGTTTTGGCAAGCTGTCTGGCCTCCAATGTACTAGAAATCACCACTAAAAAGGCCAGCTTTTAGTGGCCTTTGAGCCTGTGTAAATGGGCCCTCAGACTAAAGGTATCTCTGTTATGGTTATTAGCATTTTTGAAACATTCTGGTTCTCTATACGGTTTTGATGGCTATGAGTGGAATTCCTATAACTGAAATCTTTTATATATGTTTCTATTTGTACTCCCCTGCTTTTAATTGTCCATTTTATGCTGCAAGAAAAGTACTCTTGACTTGGTAATCTCTCTTCACCTCCAAGAGCCCAGTGCCCATGCAAATATTATTGAACCTAAATGAGTTTATTATTTTTTGCCATCCTTCAAACTAATTAAGTGAAGCTTCTCAAAACTCCAGCATTTTCAAGGTTTTGACTTACTTGACTAATTTGTTCAGTCTTCCTCTTTAGATTTAATGTGGGTATTCCTGTGGACATGGATGGAAACAAGGTTATACATATGGGTGGCAATGAACACTTACTGAAAAATGCCCAGACTTACACCTGCCTTTTCTCTACATTTATTACTTACAGTATCTGGACTGCTGGGCAAAGGGAAAGAGAACGTAGCAGAACCTTTGAGACTAAAAATAATGGGAATTTTAGGGAACTGGAAGCCAGCGCAGCCAGTAGAGGGCATCTGTCCGCAGACTGCAAGCAGCCTTGCTCTTTCTCTGATTCTCTCTTGTCTGTAACAGACACAAGGTTCTCAGATAATCCTTCCACAGTTTCAGTAAGGACAGCAAACAGGGGAAAAAAATTCCAAATATGATTTTAGGGAGGCCTCCCCTTTTGGCCATTATGGTTGATAATAAGGAGGTAGAGCAGTCTGTGCTAACAGAGAATACTTGATTTCCTCGTCTTCTTCCAACGAGGATGGAAAAGAGATAGTTCGTGTGTCTATCACATCTCTCTGTGTCTTACATTCTTTCAGCTTTCTTGTCAACTTATGAATTTCACAGTGGCTTCTTAGGCAAAGAATACTCAGAAGTAATTTTGACAGTTTCTTCCTTTGAGATATAGCCTGGTATTCATTGATCATCTCCCATCCAAGTATAAACAACAGATGCTGCTTAGCTTCCAAGAGCAGGCAGGATCTGATGTCTTTAGGGTATTCTGTTCTACTTTTAAATAAGGTAACTAGAGTTCAAGGTGGGAGGGAGAGGAATCCTAATAGTATCCTTTGCTGCCGTGACTCTGCCAGTATAGGCAGTTACAGCAAAAGGAAATGTACTGTAAACACAGCAGACTTGAAAGTAAGGAGACGTTGAGAACTACTCTGTTTGGATCTATCTACCAGCGTATTATAGAAGTGTAGCTGCTAGTATTATGCACGAACACTGTTTTTGCTTGCACCTCTAGAGCCATGTGGAAGTGACGTAGTGCAGGAAACCATCTTCATATAGTCTTTAAATGTGTTGCAGAGTGAAATTGGAAGCCTCCACTGCTTCCTTGCATGAAATTGCCATAGCCACCATGGAAAGAAAAAAGGAAGTCCCAGAGAATAGTAAATATAGCACAGTAGATTCCCAGAATATTTAGACCTTTCTCTGGGGTGGAATTGATAAGTAACCCATTAGTATGTGTGATAATAAGGAGCCCTTGATAGCACAATGGGTTAAACTGCTGAGCTGCTAAACTTGTTGATCAAAAGTTTGCAGGTTTGAATCCGAGAAGTGGTGTGAGCTTCCGCTGTCAGCCCCAGCTTCTGTCACCATAGCAGTTTGAAAACATGCAAATGTGAGTAGATCAACAGGTGCCACTCCAGTGGGAAGGTAACAGCGCTCCATGCAGTCATGCCGGCCACATGATCTTGGAGGTGTCTACAGACAATGCTGGCTCTTCAGCTTAGAAATGGAGATGAGCACCAACCCCCAGAGTCAGACACAACTGGACTTAATGTCAGGGGAAAACCTTTAATAATTCTTTCTATTGAGCCTAGAGGTGCAGATGGAGCTCTTAAAAAACAGATTGAGGGGTTCATGTCTATTTTTTAAATGGAATGAGGCAACCTCAAAAACCTTCAGTTCTAGCATTTAAAGCTTTTGTAGCCTCGTCACTGTTTGTCAGAGCTTCCATTCCCTGAGCCAAGGCAGGATTAGAAAATGTGCCCATGGAAAGCTCTAAACTTAGGCAGGATATTATAAAGTTGGCACTTAGGTAGCTGGTTTCATGGTGGATATTCTTCAGTATTCCTTCTGGAGTATGGCACCTCTCATGGCTTCCAGGTACTGCCTGTTATTGAAAAATGAAGGTCAACACTAAATCTACAGCTGTCCTGCCAGCTTGCCTCTTCAAATGGAGTAGATAAAATGCTCTTGGAAGAGATATTAATAGAAACTTTAAAAAAATTAAAACTTTACATTCCAGAGACAGAAGATGAAAATAGAATAATTAAAAACAAACAAAAACCCAAAACTAATTATAAGTAAATTTAAATCTTTGTAGATTTCAGTACTAAGGAGCAGAAGCCATGCAAACATATGGAACAGCTGCCAAGGCAGCAAAAATCACTCTTTTAACAAAAATGACAGGTCGTTGATCACAGTATCAGCATTCCATTCTGTATAATTTAGATATTTAAAATACTTAGGAATCTACTTATGTACTTTTTCTTGCCTTTCAGTGAAAAAGCAAATGAAAATGATAATTCAGATGAGGTGAGTAGCATTTTACTTGATAGTTTTGCAGTTCTGAGCTGTGAATGGGCCTCTTTCCCAAGAGAAATGTGAAATAGGAGAGGGATAATTTCCCTTCATCTTTACAGCTTCCCCTTGAGCACAACAATCAGCTTTGAAAGGCTGAGCGATCCATCAGAGTAGGTTTTAGTGGAGGATGAAGAAGAGATGAAAGCTGCATTGGATAAAGAGATGTCCACTCATACAGTGGTTGAATTTAGCCTATAAAACTGTCCCTTTCTTTGATTATCATTCATGAATAATACCATCAACCTTTGCGCATCAGGGTCCATATTGTTTAGGGATTTACAGGAATAATGGACACCCCATAAATGGGGAGTGGCAGTATAGCAAGACCCCTCATTCCTGCTGTATGTATAACTTGAATATCAGCATAGAATTGAGGGTGAATGTAATTAAAGTGATACTGATAAGAAGCATCAAATAATGGCTTTGAATGGTTCAGGTTGAAAAACACATGCGAGTTGAAAACAAAATACGGAGAGAAGAGGCAACAGCTTTAACTCAAACCATTAAATCCTCAAAACAGGAGATTTGGCTTCTTCTTGAGGAGGTCTTTAAAAAAACAAAATGTATTTTCTTCATGTAACGTTCATGATTTTTGTTATCTCTTTGCCATCCATCCATATTTATCAACTGGCAGTCATCTTTGGTGAAACAGATATGAACAAAAATTAATGAATGAACTCATAGTCTGTTTCTTTAGGAGGAAGAGGATGGATATTCTGATGAAGATGATGCTATTGATAGTGATGAAAAAAGTCAAATGAAAGAACGTATTATGCAGAAGCTAAAGAAAGATTCCAATCTAGCTGGTAGAAAAACGACCAAAGAATATGAAACAGAGAAGAAAAGTAGTCGCAGGTGAGTAGAGCACTACATTGAACTTACTGGACATAGTAAAGAAACCTTTCCATTATTCCATCGTGGGCATTTAAACAAAAATTATAGGCTTATCTGACATATCCTTACGTTTTTTCTTCAAAGTCACTTTTTAAAAAAAAATGCTATCTGCCTCCAAGTTGACTCTGATCTATAGAATCCCTATCTTGGGTTTTCATGGGAAGATTTATTCAGAATGGTCTGCCGTTGCCTCCTATTAGAGTGCTAAAAATCAAAAGATTTATCATTTGCAGTGATGTATTTTGTTATATTTGGGCAGATTCCTATAATCTGCCCAAATATTTTTACCTGCTCTTTAAATTTCTAAAGTTCTAGGGTTTTTTTCATTCTTAAGATTTTTTGGGGTGGCACATAATACAAGGTGAGATATGTAGAAGAAATATAAATTTGAATATTCTACTTTTCCATGAAATTTGCTCTCAGAGGAATCATTACTGCTTGGTCACGTTTTACTAAACTGCTTGAGCATACTTTAGTTTGGTGGCTTTTATTTTTAAGAGTCCACTCATGGCAACACTAAAGCCTTCACATTTAATCTAATCTAAATATCTCATTTGTTAGTATGCCTCCTATTTCCTGATTCTTCAGCATTTAGCATTTCATCAGAGTTCAGTGTCTCAAAGAACCCAGCAATGCAGAATTACTTTAGTAAGCCATAGAAGTATCTACCATACGTGAAACCTGCCCGTTTATTTGCAGATTTTGTTTAAAATTGTAATAATTGGGAATTTCCAAATGTGTTGAAAACTGGTGATACGCCACATTGTCCGGAGAGAATTTAGAGGATGCTGATTCAGGCTTGTGTTGATCAAAGAAGGCAGTGATTCATGGATCTGAGGGGTCAAGAGTCATGGAACAGAATACATACTGTATGACTTCAGTGGGAGGTTCTGGGAATGTTTTGTGGAACATCTGAGATCTATCAAACTTTTCATTTCATCAGAAAATTAGATCAGTAAGTAGGGCATTGTAAGTTAACATATTTCATTTGGAATAATAGGGGGTTTTCTTTTTAATTTGGCCAACACTCATAGCAAATCTGTTAAACTGCTCCAAACCTAATTTCAAATACAAAACAATAATAATCCTTGTTTGGTTTTGCTTTTCATAGAAGAACGTTTCCTGCACTAAGAATTATCAGTTTAAAGATAGTTGCTAATTCTATGTTTTGTGATTATATATAAAATATAAGTTTGGGTGGGAGGATTCTGCTTTCTACTTTGAAGTTCTTGGAAGTTAAGATCCCTGGTTCCATGTTTTCCTCTTGAAGGAGTAAATGGCTTTTTCAGTTTAGAGTCTTAACTCCTACATGACTGTATTTTTCATGTAATTTTTTTCTAGGTACAAAACCCACCATAATTCCAATTGATATCTCATCATTAGAGGTTTGAGAGTTAATGGGGTGTAGGTATTTGTGTGTTGGATAAGAGAGACCAGATTTCCAGTCCTCACTCAGCCATGAAACTTGATGGATAAGTTTGGGCCAGTTGAAACCACTAAGTCTAATCTTTCTCACAGCATTACTCTGATGATAGCATGGGTTGTTGGGTGGAAGTGAATCATCTCTGTAACCCTTTAGAGTGACCCTTTGAGCTCTGTGCTGGAAAAGAAAGAGCGGAATGGAACAAATTAAACCAACTTGGAAAAGATCACTTACTTATGATATGGCAACTTCCCAGAAAACTGTCCCCAGGGGCCTAAATGGAAGGACAGGCCTTTAACTGATAATACTAAAACGAGTCATTCATTTTGTAATTACCCATCCAGTGTAGAGATCTTTCCCAAGGCCCCTAAAACAAATGATTTACTTTTCTTATAAAAAAAAGTAAATGAATACAGAATGATAAACCAGATAGTATCTGACATTCAAATAGAAAATATTTGGATTGTTTCATCATACTTTCCTCAAGGAATTAGAGGTCTATCTGGAAGCGATAGTTGCATTCTGTGGTGTAAGTCCTGCATCGAACAGCTCTGTGAAGAGCTTGGGTTGAAATGCATTGCACAACATGCCAAAAGTTACCCCTTTAAACAACTAACTCAAGGATTCTTCCTTTGCAGTTCCAGTCATATAAAACCGCCATCCAGTTCAGCATATTTGAAAAACCCCTCATGCCCAGAACACCTATGACAATTTGGTCAAATGGCCTGTGGATTGGAAATGTTGTTTTATATATTAACATTTCATATGACAGTCATAGAGCAAAAACATAACTAAAATGGAATTGTACATTGTAGAGAAACTCATTTTCCGGTTTCCATCCAGTGGACCTTTTGGGGTTGTTATCAGCTTTAGATAAAAGCATGAGAATGATCACTTTAGCTAGAATTCTCTCCTATTTAGAGAAATGATCCATTTAAGCTTCCATTCAAGCTTTTGTCCTGTAGGTGGAGCTCATATGGCATACATTTATGGTTCTATCTCATTTTTGCTGTTTGTTGATATGGCAGACTCAAACCTGGAAAGTACATGGGAGCAGGGGAGTTAATCTTGCTGGCAAGCATAGATAAAATACAGATTCAATGTAATATTTGCAAGACTGTAATCACTCTGTAGATGTATCAGTGTTCTGAAGCCATTATTATGTGAAATAAAACTGTTTACTATTAATTGGTAGATGGATAAACTAAAGCTTTGATTTGGGGACCAGGTTTTAATCAGTGATGGCACTGCTCTTGTTTATTCTTAAAAGACTGTACAGAAATTACAGAATCCTCCAAAATTATTCATATGAGTGGCTGAGATAGTGACACCTTTGCTTTTTGATGGCTCACTGTACACAATCTTTGTCTCATGTACAAAATTATTTTAAAATACTGTATAAAATTACCTTCAGGAAAATATAATCTTAAATAAGTTGTGTTTGCAGGAGCTTATGTTTAGGGGTTTAAACACTGATGTGCAAAGGTACATTACTCTACCTATAGGTGTTCAGATATGGATATATCCATATACATGTCCTAAAGTTTTTTTTTCAATGATGATGCCATGCTTGACAGATATGGATCTAACCACCCACCAATCTGCTTGCTTCATTGCTTGTTACTTAGATGACAGTTGTCAACTTATCAAAGGCTAAAACTTGCCAGGATGGATATGCCAAATAGACAGAAATCTTCATGAACGTTCCTTAGAAGAGAGACTGGACCTCATTACCCTAGAGCAGGCATGGGCAAACTTCAGCCCTCCAGGTGTTTTGGACTTCAACTCCCACCATTCCTAGCGGCCTACTGGAATTACTGGCTGTTAGGAATGATGGGAGTTGAAGACCAAACACCCGCAGGGCTGAAGTTTGCCTATGCCTGCTCTAGAGCATGGATCCACTTTCAGTTGGCCAATAGGTAGTAAAATTTGCAGGCTATTTCTTGATTTCCTACACAAAGAGATGTGTTTGGTTAAAGGTACTGTCCAAATAGCTCCAATTGCCATTAGTAATCTCTACATATTTTTGGTGGAGAAGCTTTTTTTTTAAAAAAAAATACCCCATTGCTTTCATTGTATTGCTCAAGTGTTCCTTCTAATTTCCAGTAATCATTAAGGTATTAATAAAGTTTTCTCCTTTTACGTTTGATAAAGCATTAATATAAACAGAAAAAAAATAGACTAGCACATTTAATCTTGTTAATAAGGATTATCTTGCGTCACTCAATTTGTTTCGACTGGGCTTGAGAGTATTTTCCCTTACTCATGTTTGTGGCCTGATTATATAAACTACGACAGTGCTTTTTCCCTTTTAATCTGTGTGAAGTCACTAGCTGTGCTTTCAAAATGTTTGTTATTTCAATTTCTTCCAAACCTTGAAACATGTGGCCATTACAGGATCTGTATTTGATATTTTGTTGGTGTCATAGAGAGCCTTCCCTTGCTGGGGACTAGATGGGCTAATTGGTCAGCAGTTTAAATAATAAGAATAGTAATTGATTTTTATGAATCCTTAGGTAACTTCAATGTTAAAATATCTTGATGCATGTGCTCACTTGGGACTGGGCGTAGTATCTGTGGAGGAGGCGCATGACCCTTTTACCTCCAGCTGGTAAAAACGAGTGTGGGTTTGGTTTTCTTTGGAAAATCCCATTCTCAACCTTATTTACGTGATTTTTCCCCCTTGAGGAAGGAAAAAGTTCACATGGAATGCATTCCGTGCTCACATAAATACATTCTTTTCTACGATTTTCTTATATAAATTAAATGCTGGCTGAAGTGATTCTAGATCTAAAGCTAGATCTAAATCTATCAATCCCAACATTGGATGTTATTTAACAGATAAATGAGCTGACTTGGATGTCTCTTATTGGTGGTTTACAAGATATCTGATGTCGCAGTGGTGGGTTGTGTACAGGCTGAATGGAGAGGGTATGACCATCTAAATATTCAGGACTAGATAGTGAAATCTAAAATACTCAAAATCCAAAACTCTGGCTGTGAGATAGTGACATCCTTGCTTTCTGATAATTCAATGTACACAAACCTAGTTTCATGCACAAGATCATTAAAAATATTGTATACGAAATTACCTTTAGGCTATATAAATGAACTTTGTGGTTAAACTTATGTCACACCTCCAAGTTATCTCATTATGTATGTATATGCAAATATAGATATTCCAAAATCCAAAGTACTTTTACTCCCAAGCGTTTCAGAAAAGAGATATGAACCCTCTACTATTCTGATGCTAGAAATAGGACACGAAAGAACACAAAACAAAAACACTCAAGATGATGAAGAAAATGCTAATAATTTCATATTGTCCTAATTAATTAATAGAGTAAAATAATAAATGTACGAGGGTTGAATGAAAAGTAATGCCTCCACCTTTGTAACTTCTCAACCGATGGCAGTACTGGTATGCAGCAAGTACTGGCTTGTTCAGTAGAGACTCCTCTGCAGTTCCATTTTGGCGGGAAGCCTTAGCATTGAACAGTTGTGTTGTTAAAGTGCGAAGTATGGAACCCTGCACAGA